TTCCTCTGGACCTGATGACGTTTCCTGCAAATTCACTGTAGCTAAAGTCTGGTATGTTTCAGATGACATTAACGATGGTTCCTGTGTGCTCTGGAGTGTTGAAGCTGAAGAAACATCTGTTTTTGAAATATCACTTGTTTCCGCTTTTCTTGTTGACGAGACGGACAGAATACTGAAAGCAGAAGAGCCAGCCGTAGTTTTAGTGATGGGTGTGTCAGTAGACTTTGTGATGTTTTCACCAGAAGTACCTTGTTCTGGTCTCACTGAGGAAGCCTCTGATTCAGGAGATATTGTTGCTGTGTCAATAGTGTAAACTTGAAGATGTATCAATAACTGTTATAGATGATGTCAACAAATCTGTACTCATAGTTCCTGAACCGTCAATATCTTCTGGAGTAACACCAAGGCTTATCTCTGGATTTTCAGAAAGGGATGAAACTGAGGGGAGAGTTCTTTGTTCTGTTGAAAAGCTACCAACTTGTTCTGCTGTTGTGGTCTCTGGACTGATTAACGAGGAACCTTTTGGAGTGTGTTGCTGGACATTTCTCCAGGGTATCCACTAGTATATGGATTTGTGCTCCCTCTATCTGTAATGGCGGAACTTGACATTTCATATGCAGTTGCAGGTTTTGTTTGAGAATGGGATGTGGTAAAAGTTTGTTCTGTTTCAGGAGACGCCAATGTTGGTTTTGCTGTGCTAAGGAGTGAGACGGCTGGCGTAACTGCAGTTTTGGACACATCACTTGTTTCAGATGTGTATGTCTGAGACTGAAGGTGACTTGTGCCAATTGTTGGATAATTTCCTGTTGTCTCATTGACAATATCAGATGAAGATAATTCGATAACAGTGGAGACTGCTGTGGACATGTCAATGGTTTGGCCTCTATCTACTGGAGAAGCAACAGAAGAACTTTCTGTACTGCCTGTTACAGTGGAAAGTGAAGGTCTCGTTGTCTGACCTGTTTGAACACTGTCGTCATGCTTAGGTAGAGAGATGTTGTCTTCTCAGTGCTGAACAATGAGGAGCCAGTAGAAGATGCACTTTCTGTGTGAGACATTTCACTTGTTGGTTCACTTGTCCCATCTCCTCTTGTAACTGGAGATTTTGAACTTTCCTCTGGACCTGATGACGTTTCCTGCAAATTCACTGTAGCTAAAGTCTGGTATGTTTCAGATGACATTAACGATGGTTCCTGTGTGCTCTGGAGTGTTGAAGCTGAAGAAACATCTTTTTTGAAATATCACTTGTTTCCGCTTTTCTTGTTGACGAGACGGACAAAATACTGAAAGCAGAAGAGCCAGCCGTAGTTTTAGTGATGGGTGTGTCAGTAGACTTTGTGATGTTTTCACCAGAAGTACCTTGTTCTGGTCTCACTGAGGAAGCCTCTGATTCAGGAGATATTGTTGCTGTGTCAATACTGTAGAAACTTGAAGATGTATCAATAACTGTTATAGATGATGTCAACAAATCTGTACTCATAGTTCCCGAACCGTCAATATATTCTGGAGTAACACCAAGGTTTATCTCTGGATTTTCAGAAAGGGATGAAACTGAGGGAGAGTTCTTTGTTCTGTTGAAAAGCTACCAACTTGTTCTGCTGTTGTGGTCTCTGGACTGATTAACGAGGAACCTTTTGGAGTGTGTTTGCTGGACATTTCTCCAGGGTATCCACTAGTATATGGATTTGTGCTCCCTCTATCTGTAATGGCGGAACTTGACATTTCAAATGCAGTTGCAGGTTTTGTTTGAGAATGGGATGTGGTAAAAGTTTGTTCTGTTTCAGGAGATGCCAATGTTGGTTTTGCTGTGCTAAGGAGTGAGACGGCTGGCGTAACTGCAGTTTTGGACACATCACTGTTTCAGATGTGTATGTCTCTGAGACTGAAGGTGACTTTGTGCCAATTGTTGGATAATTTCCTGTTGTCTCATTGACAATATCAGATGAAGATAATTCGATAACAGCGGAGGCTGCTGTGGATATGTCAATGGTTTGGCCTCTATCTACTGGAGAAGCAACAGAAGGACTTTCTGTACTGCCTGATACAGTGGAAAGTGAAGGTCTCGTTGTCTGACCTGTTTGAACACTGTCGTCATGCTAGGTAGAAGATCTGTTGTCTTCTCAGTGCTGAACAATGAGGAGCCAGTAGAAGATGCACTTTGTGTGTGAGACATTTCACTTGTTGGTTCACTTGTCCCATCTCCTCTTGTAACTGGAGATTTTGAACTTTCCTCTGGACCTGATGACGTTTCCTGCAAATTCACTGTAGCTAAAGTCTGATATGTTTCAGATGACATTAACGATGGTTCCTGTGTTGCCGCTGAAGAAACATCTGTTTTTGAAATATCACTTGTTTCCGCTTTTCTTGTTGACGAGACGGACAGAATACTGAAAGCAGAAGAGCCAGCCGTAGTTTTAGTGATGGGTGTGTCAGTAGACTTTGTGATGTTTTCACCAGAAGTACCTTGTTCTGGTCTCACTGAGGAAGCCTCTGATTCAGGAGATATTGTTGCTGTGTCAATAGTGTATAAACTTGAAGATGTATCAATAACTGTTATAGACGATGTCAACAAATCTGTACTCATAGTTCCTGAACCGTCAATATCTTCTGGAGTAACACCAAGGCTTATCTCTGGATTTTCAGAAAGGGATGAAACTGAGGGGAGAGTTCTTTGTTCTGTTGAAAAGCTACCAACTTGTTCTGCTGTTGTGGTCTCTGGACTGATTAACGAGGAACCTTTTGGAGTGTGTTTGCTGACATTTCTCCAGGGTATCCACTAGTATATGGATTTGTGCTCCCTCTATCTGTAATGGCGGAACTTGACATTTCAAATGCAGTTGCAGGTTTTGTTTGAGAATGGGATGTGGTAAAAGTTTGTTCTGTTTCAGGAGATGCCAATGTTGGTTTTGCTGTGCTAAGGAGTGAGACGGCTGGCGTAACTGCAGTTTTGGACACATCACTTGTTTCAGATGTGTATGTCTCTGAGACTGAGGTGACTTTGTGCCAATGTTGGATAATTTCCTGTTGTCTCATTGACAATATCAGATGAAGATAATTCGATAACAGCGGAGGCTGCTGTGGATATGTCAATGGTTTGACCTCTATCTACTGGAGAAGCAATAGAAGGACTTTCTGTACTGCCTGTTACAGTGGAAAGTGAAGGTCTCGTTGTCTGACCTGTTTGAACACTGTCGTCATGCTTAGTAGAAGATCTGTTGTCTTCTCAGTGCTGAACAATGAGGAGCCAGTAGAAGATGCACTTTGTGTGTGAGACATTTCACTTGTTGGTTCACTTGTCCCATCTCCTCTTGTAACTGGAGATTTTGAACTTTCCTCTGGACCTGATGACGTTTCCTGCAAATTCACTGTAGCTAAAGTCTGGTATGTTTCAGATGACATTAACGATGGTTCCTGTGTGCTCTGGAGTGTTGAAGCTGAAGAAACATCTGTTTTGAATATCACTTGTTTCCGCTTTTCTTGTTTGACGAGACGGACAGAATACTGAAAGCAGAAGAGCCAGCCGTAGTTTTAGTGATGGGTGTGTCAGTAGACTTTGTGATGTTTTCACCAGAAGTACCTTGTTCTGGTCTCACTGAGGAAGCCTCTGATTCAGGAGATATTGTTGCTGTGTCAATACTGTAGAAACTTGAAGATGTATCAAAACTGTTATAGATGATGTCAAAAATCTGTACTCATAGTTCGTGAACCGTCAATATCTTCTGGAGTAGCACCAAGGCTTATCTCTGGATTTTCAGAAAGGGATGAAACTGAGGGGAGAGTTCTTTGTTCTGTTGAAAAGCTACCAACTTGTTCTGCTGTTGTGGTCTCTGGACTGATTAATGAGGAACCTTTTGGAGTGTGTTTGCTGGACATTTCTCCAGGGTATCCACTAGTATATGGATTTGTGCTCACTCTATCTGTAATGGCGGAACTTGACATTTCAAATGCAGTTGCAGGTTTTGTTTGAGAATGGGATGTGGTAAAAGTTTGTTCTGTTCAGGAGACGCCAATGTTGGTTTTGCTGTGCTAAGGAGTGAGACGTCTGGCGTAACTGCAGTTTTGGACAATCACTTGTTTCAGATGTGTATGTCTCTGAGACTGAAGGTGACTTTGTGCCAATTGTTGGATAATTTCCTGTTGTCTCATTGACAATATCAGATGAAGATAATTCGATAACAGTGGCAATGCTGTGGACATGTCAATGGTTTGGCCTCTATCTACTGGAGAAGCAACAGAAGAACTTTCTGTACTGCCTGTACAGTGGAAAGTGAAGGTCTCGTTGTCTGACCTGTTTGAACACTGTCGTCATGCTTAGGTAGAAGATCTGTTGTCTTCTCAGTGCTGAACAATGAGGAGCCAGTAGAAGATGCAATTTCTTTGTGAGACATTTCACTTGTTGGTTCACTTGTCCCATCTCCTCTTGTAACTGGAGATTTTGAACTTTCTCTGGACCTGATGACGTTTCCTGCAAATTCACTGTAGCTAAAGTCTGATATGTTTCAGATGACATTAACGATGGTTCCTGTGTGCTCTGGAGTGTTGAAGCTGAAGAAACATCTGTTTTGAAATATCACTTGTTTCCGCTTTTCTTGTTGACGAGACGGACAGAATACTGAAAGCAGAAGAGCCAGCCGTAGTTTTAGTGATGGGTGTGTCAGTAGACTTTGTGATGTTTCACCAGAAGTACCTTGTTCTGGTCTCACTGAGGAAGCCTCTGATTCAGGAGATATGTTGCTGTGTCAATACTGTAGAAACTTGAAGATGTATCAATAACTGTTATAGATGATGTCAACAAATCTGTACTCATAGTTCGTGAACCGTCAATATCTTCTGGAGTAGCACCAAGGCTTATCTCTGGATTTTCAGAAAGGGATGAAACTGAGGGGAGAGTTCTTTGTTCTGTTGAAAAGCTACCAACTTGTTCTGCTGTTGTGGTCTCTGGACTGATTAACGAGGAACCTTTTGGAGTGTGTTTGCTGGACATTTCTCCAGGGTTTCCACTAGTATGGATTTGTGCTCCCTCTATCTGTAATGGCGGAACTTGACATTTCAAATGTAGTTGCAGGTTTTGTTTGAGAATGGGATGTGGTAAAAGTTTGTTCTGTTTCAGGAGACGCCAATGTTGGTTTTGCTGTGCTAAGGAGTGAGACGGCTGGCGTAACTGCAGTTTTGGACACATCACTTGTTTCAGATGTGTATGTTTCTGAGACTGAAGGTGACTTTGTGCCAATTGTTGGATAATTTTCTGTTGTCGTCATTGACTCAGCAGTGACATTAGAATGTGTTTGTGCAGCAGGTTCTGTATCTGTGACAATGAGCTTCGAAGCTGTGTCCGGATGAATACTTGATCCACTCACTTCAGGAAGGGACTCCAATGTTGAAAACTTTGTATTCATTTCTTCATACTGATCATACGTACTTATGGATGATGAGATAGATGGAGTAATCGGAGAAAGCGTTGATGGGCTCATGGGGTTTGGGTCAGAGACAGCAGATGTTGGGAATGCAGTTGCAATGGTCGCAAGTGACTTGACAGGAAAAGCATCAGAGCCTTCTCCAGAAGTTTCAGGATCTGTGCTTATTTGAGTTGTCATAGTTTCAGGAGATTGTGTTGTCTCATTGACCATATTAGATGAAGTTAATTCAATAACAGCGGAGACTGCTGTGGACACAGTTCGTTCCTGAGAATGGTCCGGATCTCCTGTCAAAATGACCGGCTCACCATCTGCTATGGACGGGATAGGATTGTTCAATACACGTGTCACAGTTGCAGATGGGGCAGTTTCTGTCTTTTCTGGAAAGGAAATGGACAATAAGGAAAGCTTTTCACTCAAACAATTATAACATTCAGTTCACCACAAAGCAGAGATTCATTCAATGATATGAAGAGACAAACACAGTGATTGTATTTCTTCCCATTATTTCTGCGTTGACTTTGAAATAAAATGTTACATTGATTAAAAAAAAAATCAATTTTAAAAAGCAAGTAGTTCTGAATCCAAAAGGAAATTAAATGATTTTAGGAAGACCGTCTTTTATATCCAACATTTTTGGGGGGTAAATTGTGGATGACATTTTGTTTACATTTAAATTGATGATATAGTTTATTTATTTATGTTGTGGGTTTATTTGCAAGGCTGTAAATAAATACATTCTCAAAAATGAAAAGTCTACTTTCTAAAAATGCAAAAGAGGCAGATTAAGATGCATCTGCCATAATAACCTCATACAATTGTTTATAGTTTATAATTTAATGCTTAAATATAATTTTATGCTTAAACTTCTTAAAGTAAGCATCATTTGCAGTAGCATATCTAAAACTAGAACAGTTTGGGTACATTTATTTGGTGGGAAATACATATCTAAGAAGTGACATATTTACCCACATTCCTGCTGTCAAAGTTGCAATAGATAATTTTTTCAAAAATATGTTTATTATATATTTGCTAAAACTGTTGCTCTGACAGCATATCAGACAGATATGTGAAGAACTCGCTCTCCTCTTCCTCATCCTCAGCAGATGTGGTATTACTGCCTTCTGCAGAAATACATCACTCCCAGTCAGAAACAACAAATAACACCTGATGAATGCCTTTAAAGTTTCAGTTAGACTCATGTATGTGTTGCTTACACCCATCCCCTTAATCTCTTTGGTGTGACAGCGTCCCTCAGCCCGTTGTGAATGTGCATGCTCGAAAGTAAGGCCATAGTCTGATGATATCTGTGCTGGAGAAACAACCTGTAACGTTAGGTTCTTTCTCCGTCATTAGCCCAGTTGTAGCAAGCCATCAATCTCGAGCTTGATGCGTTGTGCTCTGGGGGGATGTGAGCAGTATCTGTACGAGTAATGATTGACACTGCTGAGACATTCCTCCTGCCTCTGATTTGTTGTTTCTGACCAACATATTTGTATTTCTGCAAAGACTAGTACCATAGGGAGGAAGCAGAAGAGTTCTATTTTCTCACTGGTTACCTTTCCATATTATACTGTCAGGACATAAATAAATATTTATGACTCAGTATAATATTAAGAGGAAGGGGAGTGGGTTGACCACTTGTCAGTTTAGACAAAGAATGAACAACTATCCATCAGAAGTTTTCAGCTGGATGTCTTCTTTCGGATTGTTCTTGAAAAACATGTGGCCACTAGACAACATGAGGTTTCCCAGCCCAAAATAAAAGGACTCAGTTCCCTTTGTACAACAGGGATCTCAAAGTGTGGTCGTGAAGGGCCAGTGACCTGCAACTTTTAGATCTCTGTATGCGCCAGCACACCCTACTCCATCATTAGCTTAATATCAGAGCTTTGTAGAGCATAACATCTAAGAGTTTCAGGACTCTCATTCTTGAGGGCTGCAGTTTGAGACCACGTCTTTACAGCAATAGTATCCTTCACCAACAGCACAGTACCTAACAAAGGTTTAATATGTCTTCAATACTAAATGACATCTTCTGGATGGGAAGACTACACATCCTCCAAAACACAAAGGACATAAACTAAAACATAAGTCATCAACACTATACAAGAAAATAAAAACTTTAATTTAAAGTTTTTAAATTAACTTTAAATTAAATTTCTTAAACAAAATCTATTGAATGAGCAACTTAAAGTGAACTGGAGCTGAGAATAAGCCTAGTAGTACAGTCCAACTTTCCATGAATTGCCTATCAGTTGCTATCAGATTTACAAACGCACAAATCCATTAATATACATGACTTTTACAACTTTTTCCTGCTTCACTCTCTTCACTTTCTTGTTGTCTATGCCTTCAGTCCCACTGACTCATCTCTGGTTTCCTCAAATGATAGTGTAGTTAGATTATCAGTCGTAAATGAGAACACCTGTATCCTTTCAGCCATGTTCAAAGACACCTGTTACAAATGCAGGTCATGCCTGGGAACATAGGCAATTTCCTGGCCTTACTGACCCACTCAAACACATACTTGTTCTTCACTTAAACAAGCAGATGCATGCATGCCACCAACTTACAAAAAAACAGTGTATTTAGTTGTCCTAAATCTCTGCGTCTCGCTTGTGTTTTTTCACTCAAAAACACAAGCGTAAAGTTCACCATAACACAATAATCTGGAACAATACAACAAATTTGCTAAGTGATGGTTTTACACCCATAAAAAAATTTGTGAACTGATTTTCTTTAAACCCAAATTAGATTTTATTTTGTTACAATACATTGAAACGTTTCAATGCCACCACAAATTATTCAGAAAGTTTTTCATACACACTGGGAGGGCAGAAAGAGACCCAGAAAGTCTCAGTCAATCACATGAGCAGTAAAAGTAGCTATAATCACTTCCTTTGGTCAGGCAGCCACCAGCTGTTCTGACAAAAAGGGCAGGGACTGTGAGTTAGTGATGACATCACCTTATGAGGTGGTGTCCAGTCTGAGATGAAGACAGGCGTCTGTGTTTACTGCGCTTACGGCAGTAGACTGCCAACACGCTTTAGTTATTGCCAGGTTGGCTGTCAGTCAGATGGTCACACTCAGTTAGGGGAATAATGTAAATGCATAGAAGTAGTTAAACAACACAAAATAACCAGCATGCTTTCACATGCATGAACCATGAGTCATAATGTGACTTTCACATTATGACTATACATAAAATGTATAGTAAGTTACATTATGATTTCCATGATGTAAAAGTCATACATAATAATTGTTACTATTATTATGATTTTTATAATGTTGAGGTCATACATGTTTTAGTTTGACTTTTGTCAGTGGCTTTTTGTTTCTTTTCTGCCTGTATGGTACCAATGAATGCCACAAGAGAAGATGTAGAAACCCATAGTGATAGGGAAAAAAAAAAACTACTGTATTTTCCGGACTATAAGTAGCAGTTTTTTTCATAGTTTGGCTGGGGGTGCAACTTATACTCCGGAGTGACTGTGTGGAAATTAACACATCATTATATTATATCACATATTACTTTCACACTAAACCGCAAGAGGGCGCTCTAGGCCTGTGTTATTCTACTTTCGGAGTTGTTTGTTTGCGACATGACTCGGATGGTTTTGTAAATTTTTTGGCATGTTATTTATGCTAGAGTTATCTGAATAACTCTTAATATGTTATGCTAACACACCAGCCACATTCTCAGTTTGTAATGGTAGCATACGGTACAATTATTCAGCCTGTTGTTGCTGAATAATTGAACTTAATGTGCAATAAAGGCCTTAAAGCCTTTATTGTCTTTCAAGATGACATGTTTGTTTTTGGTGTTGGATTTTATCAAATAAATTTCACTCAAAAATGTGACTTATACTCCAGAGAGACTTATAGTCCGGAAAATATGGTACAAAGTACTGAAAACTACTTTTTAGGGACCAGGTGCAGTGCATAGCAAGACAACCCTCAAAAGAACATGGCAGGGGGACTCTGCAGATAACTTCGAAGTCAGAAGATTTTATCAAATGACATCCGTGGGAAACAATTCCATCCACAAAGACTCCACACAACAATTCACAAGGTCCAAAAAATATATTGCTATAAAGCCAGTACCAGAACCCACAAGGAACCTTAGATACTATATGCTATTTGCTCGACTGGTCAGAACTAGTTCAGCAGCAAAAGAGGGTCATTGTCATTATGAATACTATCATGTGCCAAAACAACATAGGAAGCAAATCACTCATAGAAAATGCATTTCCATGAATACAAACTGCATTTGTACAAGCAAGTAACTGCAAATATTTATGTTATTTCTGTGGTGCTTATCTCAAATGATACAGTAAATTCCACTGGAGGAAATAAATAATTTATGCACGAGACCATATTCATACCAAAGACAACCTTGGCACACATTGTATTGCATCCCTTTGGTTACATCTCCCTTCTTATTTGTCCTATGTTTAAAAATGTAAGAAAATGCAAATCTTACCTGCAATATTCTGAAAGTGTGCCTCTGTGACCACTGAAGGTGTGACTTTGAGCGTGCTGGTTACAGCCGGTGTCGTAGAAGAGAATGTAAATCTCTCTGCCAAAGTTTCTGGAGTATGTTCTGTTCTCTGACTGCTGGACTCACCGAGGGTGTGTTCAGTTGTTGACAATGCCACTTCTTCAGTAAACACTTGATTCTTAACCAGGAACCTGGAAGCTACATTTGGAGCACCAGGTGTAGCAAGAGAATCTGCTTTCTGTGTTATTATTTGCGTTTCAGTGTCAGGGATGTCTGTTATTTCTGTGGTGCTTATCTCATCTTCTGGCACAACGGAGGTAGTGCCACTTGGAGTTGGGGTTGATGTTTCCACGGCAGTTTTATCTATGACTTGTGGTGAAGGCTGGAATGGTGGAGGAGCCTGGAGAAAATGATCAGTTGTAATCCCATCATCATAATCGAATGGTATGAATGATGTTGATTCAGAGGAAATAAATGCTCCTTTCCTGGTCATTTCAGTAGATTCTGTAGGAGCATCTGTGATTTCAGAGAAAATATCTGGGATCATTTTATGAGTCACAATAGTTTTCTCTGTCTTCCCCTCTGCAAACCTGCCTGCTGTACTTAAAGAGACATCTGGTAGAAGTACATCAGGCCTGATTGTGCTGATCTCAATCACAGAGTGGGAATCTGGATCTTCAAAGGATGCTGTAGAACCAATGGTCTCTTTCATCGTGTGAATTTCAGTGATCTTGTCACCATGGGAAGGAACAGGTTCAACAGTACCAAAGCTGTTAGAGTAATTTATGTCTGTGTCGCTTATACCATCTTCATCATCAGGATCCTCTGTAATTGTTGGTCCAACTGTTGTGATTAATTGAGCATCTTGGTCTGGGGGAGTGGGCTGAGGAGGAGACATACTGACAGAGAACATTGATGTAGCATATGTGGGAACATCATAGTTTGAAGACTTCTCTGCCTCTGCTGTTGTGTCAAATGATGTGGTGGAAACAGTGGTGGACCTGGTGGTGGTGGTAATAACTTCTTGTACAGACACATCCACAAGGAAAGTCTGGTTGATTGTGTCTCTCCCTCCTGTAGAGTAGACAAAAAAACAAAAAATTTAAAGAAATATTAATTACTTTTGGAAAACCAGTAAAAAAAAAAAAAGTGAAAAAACGTATTGAGAATTTGCATTGATGACTAGCAATTGTAAAAAAAAATTCAGACTTTGATGTCCTGCAAATGCAGCATTGATGTGATTTGAGTTTCTATTACTGAAATGTGCACAAAACAAGGCTATTTTCATTCAAAAAGTAAATACTTCACATTGAAAATGTATGAAACTGTATTTATTTTTTAGAGTGGTGTAGCAGGACTAAGTTCACAGTGTCGCTGCAATGCCATTTCAGTTGTTGGGAAACAAAAAGTAAATAGCAGCAACAGCTTTTAATGTTTTCTAGAAATTTCAGTGCAGACGACTTCCTCTGTTAACTCTTATTGCAGTTTCCTACCAGTCATAAGAAACCTTTTTTTTTCTAAGGCTACAGAGATAATAGCTTAAGAAATAAAGTTTTAACCTTTAATCAGCTTCCATGGTCTTAATTGACATGACAACAGGATATTCGTGCAAAGTTAGGTAATTCTTCAAATAGTCTTTTTCATATGTGCACTTTGAAAGTTTCTCCAAACATTTCCAGATTTGCCTAAAAGGGCCACAATGTGCCTAACAGAGGAATCACGCTGTGGACATAGTTGAAGGGATCACGGCTTGTGGTTTTGCTACCGTTTCTTCAAATTGCCATCCTCTGTTGGTTCTGTTACTATAATCTAGCTGTCTTATATGACTGCTTTCTTTTTCTTTGGCTGAGTGTCGAGCAGCAAATATCATTTCAGATAAGTTAATCATAAGCATTTTAACAAGTCATTTAGTTCATAAATTATTTTCAAAAAGGGTCCTCTTCCTTCCTGCTCCTCTGTACTTCCAGACTCTTGCATTTACTCATACTAATAAAAAACAATCTAAAGCCACCCTTAGTTGCACTGACTGACTGCATAAAAGGCAGCTGTTGACCATTACGCATTAGCCCTTTGCTCATGAAACTACAGCATATGTGACATAAGGAGTGAGACACATTTTCCGTTACAGGAAAATGAGGGTCTGCTCTCAGAAATATTGCATTATATCACAAATGCATTTCAACTGTTGCTGTTATAAAGACCCTTGTTTCTTTCAGGGGAATCCAAAGTCTACTTAGCAAACAATCATTACATTTTCTCACTGCATCCAGCTCCCCCTCCTATGTGTTTTTTTTGTAGTTTAAGTGACATTGGCTTCTACAGAGACTGTATTGCAGGCTGTAAAGACCGAGAGGACAGACAGAGATCCACCAAAAAGTGGCACTTAAAGCTCACTTGCACTAAAGTGAAAATACAACTTGGGTGAGAGAGCTGACGTGACACACAGAGCAGGAGGTGAGTGTGGCATGTTTGTGTGCCCTCTGAACTCCATGAAGACTTATCACTGCGAGAGTCAGCATGGCCCGAGAGTCAGCATGGCCCAAGAGGCAGTAAATGTCCAGGCAGTGGTCAGCTTATCTGTCCGGCCTTTCATTTGTGAAGATGGAAAGGCCATGTCAAAGGTCACCAAGGATGACTGAATTTAGAAGTCCAGCAGTAGTTTTTGTCCATTATCCAAATGTCAGCTCAGATAACTACAAGTGAGAATGACAGAACCAAAACTGACAATGGAAATCAGAGATGAAAGCTGCAAGGGGGGGTCGGTTAGTGTGTCTAAAAAGGCTGCAGCATTGGGCATGTTTACTGCCCTTTCTAAGCCACTTCTATCATCTATCATTGGGTGTTGTCCTAGAAATTTTGAAACTATCACAATTTTAGGGTTTTTATCATTCTGATATAATTTAACTTACCATAATTGGACAATATTAATGTGATTTTTAGTATAGATCCAATTCTGCATTTGCTTTTATTCTCAAGATCATCTCTGTGTAAACCAGTTTAACCTGAACATTTTCAAATTAAACAGTTGGGTTTCATTTGTTATGACTAAAATTACAGTTAAATTAATATTTCTTTAATTAAGATGTCATTTGCACAGGTGGACTTTTCAAAGGAAAAATAAACCTTAATTAGGAAAACTGGAAGTAATGGAGCATGACAAAATTAAACGACAGTTTGTTGACCTCAAAAATTCTTACAATTACAAAATTCTTTATGTAATTGTCCATAGACCCCACTAGCATCGACAACAAACAGCACAATGCTTATTAGAAATTAATCAATCTAGCTTTATGATGAAGCTCCTGAAACACTTCAATGCCAGGCAAGGATGGCAAAAGGTATAACAAATAAATAATAAGACAATAATAGTGATAATAAATCGATAAACATTTTACCCGGCTAGTATTTCAAAATGTGTATAATGGTTGTATGCATTGTGAAAAACAAAGTGTAGAAAATTGGAAATGAATATTTGAAAATATTTCAAAAAGGTGAAATATTTTAAAATATATTTTCAAAATATATTTCAACACTGGAGTGCACTTTACTCCAGGGTACCAGTAAACTCCAGTTTACTCTAAAACTGGTACACTACATCAGTTTTAGAGTAAAAATATTCAGGTCCCCAAAATACATTTTTATCAATGACCTTCATCTTAATTGGTTTGTATTAATTGTACACTAAAAAAAACATGTCTGCTTGTTTTTTTTTTTTTTTTTTGCTTTGCTATGTAGAAAAAGTTTTTCAATTGTCCTCAAGCTGCAGAATATAACTTTAATTATTTATGTTTTTTACATATTGGTTGAAACGTTCACTATGTCATGACAGAAAAGTATGGGACAAATAATTGGTATAAAATTGCATCCTCTGCCATCTCCGGGTGCTCCCATTGCTAACTAGAACCAACCAATCAGAGCCTGGAGGCAGGTCTTAGCATAACTCAGGGAGAAAGTGAAAAGATTTGATCTTTTCAACAGATTATCTGTCTCATGTTACATTGTCACAACATAGGGACAGTTTTAACAAATATTACATACACACTGCAACTTTAAACTGCTCTCTTAACTTTGAAAAGAAATCAATCATTCATCTGTTTCTATTACTTGGTGTTTTATAACAAAGAGGATAAACCCAGCAAAAGAAGCAAAATTTCCTGAGAAATTTTTCATGCTGTATGAACGTTTCCTTTCATTGTTAAAATCTGATCAATAAACATGCGCTGCACATTCAGTTTACATGTCAAGAATACAAGCAAAATAGTTTTTACCTCTAAAGCAGTAAGCTCCATACTTCATCAAAGGATCTGGAAAGTAGGTCTGATTTCTGTAGCGATACAATGTCCTGACACCCATTAGGCCTCCGCCACATGGAATTCTAGGATGCACAACAGGATGTCGTACACTCCCGTCAGAAAGCCAGCCATAGTCACATCTGTCCAGGCCCATTCTCCAAGCGGCGTGGAGTTGTCCAGTGGACGCCAAGACAGCTTTGTGTTTTTTGCACTCCTCAGTGGCCTCTAAAAAAGTTAGCTTAGCCGCCGCAGGAGCATAAAAGACTTCACCTGAAAGAAAGAAAAATGAATGAAGATTTTATAAAAGCAAAGGATGGACTCTATTATCTAGTCCAGACGTTCGATCAAATGAGGCCAGCAGTGAGACGATTCAGGCAAAATAAGGCAGAATTTCACATACAAGAAAATGTTAAAAAAAAACATGCACAGAAACAGAGACTGGAATCCTAAACAACCTACTTAGACAGTTCATCAGTAAAAAAAAAAAAAAAATGTTGATTTGGGGCTTAGTTTCACAATAAGGAGTAATTGCATTGCTTCACTTATAACCGAACTGGTGATTCACATAAGTCTGGTTAAATGTGGAACAGAAACTACAATCTCTGGGTAATACAGTATACATTTTTGGCAGTATTCCAAAGACATTATCAATAATGATCACACGCTAATAAAGAAGGGTTGTGGTTTATTAATGACTGTGTAACACATGCCTTCAGTAGCTCAAACTGCAGACCTAGTGTGTTACCTCTATTCGTTTAATATCTATTATCAACTCTTCATTAAATAATATGAAATACCATGCGCTCTAAATATTGCCCTGACCAAATCCCAGCTAGAAGAGCAAATGCTGAGAGGTGATTGGAATTTATATTTGACAACACAGACATTAATCACAGTAAAATACTGTAGCGCAATTTAATCCAAGAACAGTAACAGAATAAACTAGCTGATGAAGAGAGAGAGAAAATTGTTGAGCAGTGCCAAAGACAGTTAAAAATCTAATTATCATATTTTTGTTGGGGACGTTTTTAAAAACCACAAAAACCCATTCTTTCATGTGAAGTTATTAGAAGCTTCTCTGCAATCTTTCTTTTACAAAATGTGAAGCTGATTTGTGCAGAAAACTGTGTACCATAAATTTAAAAAAATAATTCCTATAAAAAAAATGCCATAGGTACAACGGTACAATAATATGGTAATCATTATTGTACCACGATTACCACTGTGGTACGATAAGATTTTTAGCTGAAGCCTTTTTAAATTCACACTCTCAAAACTGTTCCAATAGCTTACCGTCAAGTTTATCGACGTAGCAGTACACATCATAGGTCTCTGAAGGGTTTCTAACTCCATATGTCCTAACACCAGGTATCATCTTAAGGTTTCCAAGGCAGCCGTTTCTTGGTCTGGTAATTGGGTATCTATAGAAAATAAAGTATAGTATTAAAAATCATGACGTCGTAAAGTGTATTGTACATTTGCTGTTTATGCATCTGTTCATTATGTATATCAGTTGTGTTGAGTGATAAATCTAACCTCACTGTCTGGTCAGCAATCCAGCCAGCATCACACTGGTCAAATCCATCTTCATAAGCTGCTTTCAGTTGGGAATAGGTAGCTATGCTTGCTCCAATATCTTCGCAAGTTTGGACAGCTTTCTCATAACTTAAGGTGTACCTGCTGGTGCTTGCTCGATAGTGAAAAACAACACCTGGCAACAAATAAGTTACAAAAAGTAAGCACTATTTAAAGATGAGAGACAATCAAATATTGTATACACAGTTGAAGACAGTCATCTGCAATTCGTTAGCATAAATCCAGGGTGGTAAATTTTGGAAAGTGTCTTGTAAAACACTCTCTGAGGGTAAAAAAAAATAGTCTCTTAGCGTCTTTGGAAACAAGGAGGTTTGCAATAAGCCAAGAGGATATGTGAAATACTCACACTGTTCACCACAAATGAACAAGATAACTGTATGTGATGCCATGGCCCTGAAATCCCCATATTTGTGGACGGTAAACAGATGCTTCAGATTTGATTGATGGTGTCAATTAACATTGCAAATTGTTGGAAAAGAGGTCAGGGAGATTGTAAACCAAAACTATCCCAGTTTCTCCCCACCCATGCTTCCACAAAAGTTCTACAGTATCACCCAGATTAATTTTCAAAAAGCCTACAAAATTAAAACAATTGAACAAGGTGAAGATGTGTTATCATGTAACCCGCATTAACGCATGTATTTCACAATAGTGAAATACCCTTTTTGGTAATACTGTCAGTGTTGGGGGAAAAAAATTACAGAAGATAAATGAAATTATGTGCACCAAAGTTTGTATACAACATATGGAAGATTGCCCATATTAAATCTTTGTTGACTGGGTTTAAACAGAGAATGCTATAAAGTAAAACACTGAATATTCCACTTTTTTTTTCTTCACAACCACAAACCTTAACATATTTTATAGGGAATTCATCACAAACCATCTAATAAAAGTCTCTTAAATCTTTTTTTAAGGATGACATTCTCTCTGAAGCAAGGCAACTTAAAGTTGTAGTTACCTCTGTAACTACTAAGTAGCTGCACCTATCAAAACATTGATCTCACATCCTGTTTACATTTCTATCACCACTTGTATTCCATTTCTCTCTTATTAACCTTTTTTTTTTTTTTTTTATTCACTTCTGCAAATTTTGGTTTTCATCTAAATCATCTAATTCCATAACACAAAAACAAGGAAACCATAAATGGCTTACCGTTGACATCAAGGTTAACAATATCATGCGTATCTTCAATGCCGTATGTGGCTTCACAACTGTAAGTCCCAGCATCACTAGCTCGCAGCTTGACCATAGTCAAGGAGGCGTCACCGACATCCTCAGGGTGACTGGGCACTGACACACGGTTCCTGTAGTTGGGGTTCATCTTGATGACCCCATTTTGCATCACCAGCACTGTAGACTTTTCCTGTCCTTTTATTTTGGTCCATTTGATTCGTAAGTAATCTTTACCATAACTGGCTGTTCTATTTGTACCTATGACTGGCGCTGATGTTGGGATTGTGGAGAAGAAGCAGGGAAGATTTACTTTCCCTGAGAGAGATCCAGAGATTGGTTGGATTATTGATAAAGTGTTGGATGCTGAAAGGTAAAAACAAAAAAAAAAATGAAAAGAGTTAATGTGGTTATTAAGTACCTTTTACTTCCCATCCTACTCTTTCCTCGGAACATAGAAGAAGACAACACACACTGGCTCAGTTGCAATGAAAGGGTGTGACAACTACACCCATCTTAATAAAAAAAAAGAAAAGAAAACAAGCATCATGTTTTGAAAGTGACTCTTGGAAAGTTGAACCTCATCTTTAAAATGATGGGTGTGGGAACAAATTCCCCACTAAGTTCAGTGCATGTACAATGTTTTAATGGAGTTTAAACATGTTACTAAAACAAGGACACATGACTAAATCATTTCATGTCTGACCTCTGGTAAGTTCTTGACATCGAGTACCCACTCTTGGACAAACCAAGATTAGTCTAAACTAGAATGATGTCAATATGATAAACAATACAACATCAGACAATGTTAAAAGGATATCTAAAGAAATTATGAAAAGTTGAATAGTTTGAATGGGTGACATGTTACCCATTTACAAGTAATCTCTCTTAATTCCTTTATTAAGGACTGATCCAGATCATTTCAGGCTCATGCTAATGGTGACAATACTGGTACTGGGTGACTTTATTTACATAGACTATGCTAATTATTTGCACAAGAAATACTCACCAATCATCTTTCTGTGTGAAATAAGGATTGATGACTGAACATGCAAAACTATTTCAGTCACAGTAACTTTGATGTAAAAGTATCATAAAGTAGAAATCAACAAAAATAATGTGACTTCTACAATATGTTTGCCTTTTTCACATTTTACTTTCATATGCAGACTTTGCAAAGGAAGATCACTGATGATACACCACCGCCTGGTTTAATTTCTTGTGTAGATAATCATAACCACTCACTTCAAACTTAGTGACAGGTTAAATGCTCAAGAAATAAAATGAACATAAACTTTGACTCTGAAAATATTTGAAAATGTTAATCTCCAATTTTGTATGAGGGTTCAGTTTAACTACTAACCATTTAATATTTTCCTTTTACACAATATTCCTTTTTTTATTGGGCACATACTTCATCTGCCATGTAAAGATTCATTGGCTTACTTGTTAATACCTACTGAATGCAAACTTGATAATGTTCTAAATAGATATGTTCATGAAATAGTATTCACATGAACCACTAATGTTTTAGATTCTGAAATTGTTGTACTACAGTAGAAGTCCTCTTTGCCTTTGACCTAAGTTGGACTAGCTAAAACAAAGATGCCCTGAGACTTATCAGCTGCAGGCCAATCCAGACTTTATCAGTGACTTAACAGGGCAGTAGTCAGGGCTCCTGGAGTTTTGGTGGCCCTACCTCCATGACAATGTTTTTCAACCAGTGTCCTCAAGACACGCTGCCCTGCATCCTTCAGAGATGTTTCCATGATTTCATAAATCTCATCTGGATAATTGTAGTTCACCAGTTCACCAAAAGCCTGTTAAGGAGTCACCAATTGAAGTCATGTTTGCTGAAGCAGGGAAAGATCTAAAACCTGCAGGATAGTGTGTCTTGAAGACCAGGGTTGAAAAACACAACACTGCTCTAAATCCTAACCCTGGACTTAAAGAAAGGTAAGTAAAAGGATAGTCGACTTTATACAAATCTTTAATTACATCCTTTGTTGTATTACTTTTTTTCTTTGTTCATGTTATTTGGCCATATACAATCTGTTTGAGGGCTTTAACAATGTATTTGTGCTGATGAGGGTATTTCTTGAAAACTTAAACTTTTTAGTAACAATACAGGATGTTGCATCATGCTAAATCTGGGTCTGGCTACAAGTATATATGCTAACTCTTTGTAGTTTTTTTAACAGACATTATGAATTGAATTGTTAGGTAAGTAATCCCTCAACTACCATGACATAACCACTCATAGTGCAGCAGATCAAAGTAAGAGTTAATTCAATACTATGTCTTACATTAAAATTTTTGTGAACATTGCAAAATTGCACGACTGCGATCACATCTATTCCATTGTTAACATGCATGGGCTCATGTTTAAGTCTTGTGTTTTAAGAAGTGGGAATAGATGCCAGACACAAATCAATAGCAGTAGGCTGTATCACACAAAGCTCCACAGAGAGGAACCAAATTACCATTTTTTCTCTTTTTGGAAGGTTTTTGAGGGGGAGGAAAAGAAAGAGTTGGCATTCACAAGGAACAATGTAGAGAATGCTTAGAAAACACTGGTGAAGCAGCCCTAGAGGCATGAATTTGTGTGCTTTAATAGACGGCCATATTAGCATGTGTGATGTTAGCAGCTCTTCTGCCTTCAAACTAATGGCTCCTTCTGATATGGTCTGGGTGTTGAATTGACCAGGTGTATAAATCAGAGCACTCATGTAACTATCAACCTTTTCACAAAAATTGTCCTACAGTTTATTGTTGTCGCTTCATGTCTGTAGATACACACAGATAAATGAGTCCACTTTAAAACCACAAGATGAAGAATATTGTGATCTTATGCGAATGCATGACGAAAATACATAAAGAAAACAGACAGAGAAAAACAAGAAGAGAAAGGTCAACAGAAGAGTGCCCAAAAGTAAGAGAAGATGACTTACTTGTTGCAAATGCAGCATCACACAGGTAATATAACCACAGGATATGCTTAATATTTAGAATCATCTGAAAAAAGAAAAACAAAAAGAAGAAAAATGTTACATTAGAAAAACATTTGAGTTGTTGAGTTTTTTGTCATCATAAGTATTTTCAGTAAAAGTAATTGAACATATTAGATTAAAGAAATAAGTTAATACTGAAAAATATGTGTACATAAAAAATAGTATTACATAATTGTTTTTGCTATTATACAATAATAAATGATGTGGAAAGCATCAAACCTTTCGTTAGGCTTTAATCAGACAGAATGTCATGTTTTCACTGAACATGTGGGTGGTGAAGCTGAGAGGTAAAACTTCCTGTGAGGTCAAACCAGGAGTTTTGGAGACAGGAGGGAAGGAGCAGCAGGCCCCCCACCCTCATTAGCACCCCACAGTATAAACACAAGGGGTCGGGTATCAGTAAGAGTTGAAAACTGTGGGAACCCTCTACCGAAAGGCAATTAGCACTACTAAATCATCATCACTAAATACAACATGATAGAAGACTGACAGTCACTTTAAACTGAGAAAAAACAAAACATGGTGGCTGTTTTTTTAAAGCCACTGGTTCTGACAAATACCAATATTTGCCATCCTACTTATTGAAACAATAGGTTTCATCCAGCTGAGCTTGGTTTTCTAGGAAATCCTAATAAGAATAATTCAAAGGAGATCCCCTACTGCAGACCACTGCAGCATCACAGAGGGGTTTAATTGCTTACAGATTTGTAAAGCCTGCGGCCCCTCATGCAGGGATGCTCCTTACTGTGAAAGACAGGCGCCTGACTGCCAACGTCATTTATTTAGGAACTGATTGTGAGACTGCCAGTGCGCCATTTCCAATTACAAGACTTCATTTAATGTGGAACAAAAAAAGAAAAATACGATATGATTTGTTTTAAGCCTTGAAAGAGGGCGATTTGATACTTTAAATTAAATCCTTAATCAGCGGGACAGAGAAGTTATCCGAGGACAGTACGCATGTACATTTGTGACATGATAAGTTGTCTTATGCTTACTGATTCGCTTTTATCAGAACTATATCATCACAACGAAGTAACATGTTCAGAAAAGCATCTACAGAGATAAGAGGAGCCCAGTTTCTTATACTACGTTTTCAGGGTAGTCTAAATAATGCGAGAAATACTTACGTTTAAATTAATTTTTATTCCATTGAGCAAAGAAAATTGTTTATAGATATTAAATCCTTAGATCGAACTCGTCCCGGTGCACCACATGCGTGCGTAAAACGGTGCCTGGATGGGTCTTCTCCAAGATGAGGCAGCGGAACTTCGTTTTCCTCTCCCCAGTGAGCCTGACTCCTCTCTCGAGATGATGCGCGGTCCTACTCCAGCGTGATCCTGAATCTGAGCGCACCGGCGGTATCCCGTGAATGTTGGCAAGAAACAAGTTCAATTTTGCCTAAGCCACGCTGCTATTTCGTCAAAAGAGGAGGAGCTCGTTTAAAAAGTGAATGAGACACCTTGTGGAGGAGGGAACAGTCTCCAGTTGACCATGTGCAGGAGAGGAAGTGGCTCCTCACTCAGTCAGACTAATGTGGCACAAATGGTCTCCTCTGTAGGTTGTCCTCGTTTTATTAGGTGCTCGCACTTCACTTCCGAGCACTCAAGCAGCACAGAATACACCCAATGAAACATTGTTGTTCTTGTATGCTTGTTTGAATTAACTATAAGGACCCGCAATGCATCATAATCAGTATTAAGATGAAAACCTCGCGCTATTTGGAAAGTCCAGCAGTTCTAATCAAAGGTTGCGCACTGGAAACGGGGCAGTGCAGACATTTCTCTGCAATTTCGAGTCATAACATTCTGGTTGTTCCAATGCCACAACCCTTCAGATCAGCCCCGGCACCGCTGTCGATGGTAGACCAAGGCATGTGAACAATACAGATCAGTGCAAGTGAACGAGCGGGAAAACGTGCTCATCTGATCGGCTCGGATGGGTAACCTTCTGCTTCACAGCGATTCACTGGAAACTGCGCTGTGCTTCTCCAAAAGGGGAGGAGGGGAGGCTGGGTCATCCTATCATGTTCCCCATCATTGGCTATTAAACGCCAAGGAGGGCTCATTCCAGGAATATATGGGTGCCTGATAGAGGGATCATGACATACTGAACAGTTGGAAAGACTAGTCTGCGTCCACATCCTGTTCAACACTGCCTGGACTAAAATAGAATTTTGTTCAGGATCTAATCATTTAGCAACGAGCAGAATAAACATCCAACGAGATTGCAGTGACAACTAAAATCAGAGTGAGACCTGTAATGCATTCTTAAAAACTGGAAGAACAATAAGGAACCATCCTCTTTAAGAAATAATTGTGGTGGGGAAAAAAAAGTTTAATTACAGTGATTTGTGATCCCTTATAAATGTTTGGTGACATCAGTTGGATTAAAAGAAAAAGCAGAACTCATCAAGGGAAAGTAAGAGCATTTCCACATGGATAATGTGACGGGAACTTAAGGAATTGGCACTAAACAGCTGTGTAGCCTCAAGAAAACCAATAATCAGTGAGGCTAACTGGAGGGAAAGGCTTTAAACTACAAGGGAGCATAAAGATTAGACTCTGCAGCAACTTAAGAAAGCCCAGAGTGCAGCAACTTAAGAAAGCCCAGATTCACCCTCTCCTAGAATAATGGGTGTGTCAGGGTAAGAAGAGAGGCAAATGAAGTGATGCAACCTTCATGCCTAGTGTCTACTGTGCAAGCTTGTGTGTGTTGTACTATAATCTGAGGTTGTTGCAGTTGAAGGTTCAGTAACATGATATCGGTTATTCAATTAATTGAATTGTTTATTCCCTGATGACGATGACAAAGTCCATCAGGCTGAAATTGTGAAACTGCATTAATTTCAGACATGGATCAGCCATCGCAGAGTTCAGACCTTGACCCCAGTGAGAATCTTTGTGATGTTCTGGGGAAGTCTGCATTAAGTTTTCACCAAGATGTCTTGGTGAAAACTTAATGCAACCTGGGATGTAAATAAACTTTTTAACACTGCAGAATCTTATCGAAAATGATGCCACAGCGAAGGTGTGCGATAATCTAAGTTAGAGACAGTCCAACAAAATATTGGACTATGTGACTTTTGGTTTTTGGAAATATTTTACAACTAAAGATGAGAAATATAATTTTTTTCAAAAGACAGGATAAGAGTTATGTATTTAAGAGTAATTAACAGAATTAAAGGCATGACCACACCATATCTGTCATATTAATCTATGCAATGTTTTTCTTTGAGAATTGACATGCACCTGTTTGAGTGGGGAACTGAAGCGTACAAGTATTACTGTTTGATTGTAGCTACACATTTAAATAAATCTGGATTTCTTTAAAAGCAAGACAATAATAAAACCATTAAATGGTAAACATTCAAAATATACTGCAATCATTTCTTATACTGCTGATATCCTTAGGGTTTGATTTTCATTCAGCCACGTCTTACAGTTCTTCATCAGAATTCAGAAATAAGAAAAACCATATTGCTCTGAAAAAAAAAAAAATCCAGTTAGAGTTGTTTGGGCAAGCAAAAGTGGTATGTGCTCAGACTGGATCCAGTGCCACTGTACTGGTAAATCACCTGATGCAGCATTTATCTAATGTCTGAGTGCAATGAAAACCAATCATAGTAAAAATAATCATAGGAAAGTATAAGCAGATTAGTATCAAAGCTCTGAAAACTATAATTTCCATCGTCACTGTTTGCTTCCTGTTCTTCGACCACAGCATTATCTATCAGGTTTTGACTCCCATCAAAACTTTAGAGTGTATACTGAAATTTGTCTGCCATACTCTTTAATAATACCACTTGATTAGCTTGATTCTTGTGAACATTACAACAAAATGTTGTAATGTTAAAGGAAAGTTTTGGGGAGAAAAAAAATATTTACCCTCTGATAAGATCTTTTTTGAAAAAGTCACAACCCAATGTATGAAATATTTCTGCTGTATGTCTAACCGTGGAAGTCTTGTGCCAGTTAAGTAGCTATAAATCACTGGGTCAAAGACCCAGTGAAAGAGTGTTTGATCCTGGTGATCTGCTGTGAGAACCCCAAGATGACCCATGAATCACATGACCTATTAAGGTGGTCTGCCTCTGGCAACCACTGACAGGATAAAAGGGACATTTAACTTTGTAAACCTAATTCCTTAGGTCGTCCTGTAGAAAGTAAAAAGTTTAAAAGCAATAGCTGTCCTGTTCTTTTTTTATTTTTTTTTCTCCCTGATGAAATTCAGGTGGGACCTCCCAGATCAGAACAACCAGAAAAAACCTGCAGTCACGCCATTTGTTTGTTCTAGTGTAAATACACAGAGAACAAGCAACTGGCACATATCAAGATTACTAAATCACTCTTCAGAGCATTGCCAGAAGAAAGGTAAATTATTAAATAATGACAGGGAAAAAGTTGTATAATTAAAGTGTCAAACAAAACCCAAGGTGGTGACACAGAAAGAGAAAAAACAGCTTGCTGTGATTTCCTGGGGTCCAGGGAAACGAGTTTGTGGGGGTGTGTTTTCGTGAGTTAGCTCCCTGTTTAGAGTAGAACATGTGGGAAAACGAAGCCGCCTCTGGACGGACGTGAACCTTGATCCTCTGAAGTCAAGTGAGGAGGTCCAGACCACAGCAGATGATCCCTGTATTTTAGGTAAAGATTAAAGGAGGACAGCAGTGATAAAAGAACCGAATTCATTCACAATTTGTCAGATCTTCAAACGCATCTTATTTTACTTATTGCAAAACGAGTTCTTTAAAAGTCCCAACTACAATCACACTTGCACAGGAAGATATATACATCCATCCATTATTTCTTCTCTTCTACCATTCATAAATTTTACTCCAACACACACACATGTACATATATAGATATCCATGTATACGTAAAAAGAGAAAGTTGTATCTGATTATAAACATTGATTAGGCTTTTAAAGGATGACAAACATGCCATTTATATTCACTTTGTGTTTGTTTTCAATGTGAAATTGATAGTGGCATTTAAGTATTTCCAACAGCATTTCAAAGAGACAACAAAAATAGACAATAGCATATTCAATATGCCAGTTGCCATTCTTCATATTTTGTGGCAGCTTAACACAATAGTTTAAATGAAAAAAGGGAAATTCAAGCACTGAGAAGATTTGAAGTCAAGATGTATTTATTTTTTTTATTTTCATTCATGTATGAATCAATAAAATCTGTTTTCTGTAAAGAAAAACTAAAGTTTTAAAGCATAAATACATAAGACAAATATAGACAATAATCAGTAAAAGAAAGGGAGCCAAAGAGATCAACATCACAATAACAACAGTCCCATAAACTACAATGATCCTGTAGAGCCAAGATTTCAGTTAAAAATGTAGATATTAATTTATGTTTACCGAGTATTGATTCTGTATCAATCTAATAGAAAACCCCAACTAGACTATTATATACTGCATAAAACATGCACAGCACTTTTCAGGACCCTTAAAGACGTTTTACAATCAGTCGTTTCCATTTACGCACACCTTGACACATTGATGACGGCAAGCTGCTGCATTGTAGCCACAGAAGCCCTGGAGCAGTCTGACAGAAGTCAGGATGTCAGTCTGATTCTGGCCGGCTGGTGTTGGTGCTTGCTGGTGTTGCAGGTGAAATGTCTTGCCCAAGGACACAAGGACAGAGGAGGACAGAATGGAAATCAACCGGTGGCTCACTGATTGCCTTCACCACCATCGCCCCTAAACCAAATGTCTTAGGCAGTTGTTTGGTTTAGGGGACAATTACGTAATAACAAAGGGTCTGGATTAGCCTGGAGACCATCTTCCTGTGCAATTCTCCTCAATTCCCATCTTTCATCACTGCTCCATCTGGGATGTTTTCTGGGGATTGTCGTTTACAGCGCATGCAATTTAAGCTTCATAGAATCAAACTGGTGCACCACATACATCATAGCCGAATGTTACCGATTAAGTGAAAATGTTAAACAACATCAGTGTTCTCACCTCCAGCAAGCAATTGTTTCACAATAATTGGGTTAGGATTCTCGGTATGAAGCAAAGCGAAGAACCAGGGGATGATTTTTTACCGGGTTATGCATGGATTAGTCTGGTTAAAAACCAGCTCCTTGTCTGCTGCTATTTGCTTCTTACAGAGGGTGTGGATTAAGTAACGATTGCTTTACTGGAGGCGTGAATTTTGTTGAAGTTTTAAATCTGATTGTGTCCACTAAATTCACAAAATTGTTCTTCGGAAACTGTTTTTGTACGTACTTTGTTTTTTAAAATTTGTTTGATGGGCTGAAACATTAAATAAACTGCAGCAAAACAAAAACAGAAAAAAATCTCTAAGAAATAAGAAAATCTCAGAAATAAGAATGTGAATGTGACTGTTATACAATTTTGTCCAACAGCTTCTCGTCACATAAGAAGTAATTTGAATGGGACGAATAGGACGTGACTGAAAACCCCAACACATCATTGCTACCAAATTAAGCTTTGCATAGAGCTTTGATACGGCACAACTAATGCAATGTAATCCTCCAACCAGCCACACTTAGGCCAATCCTATTATTGGCCAATCCTATTATTGATCTATATGTGAATTGAAGACTGCAAGTAATTTCAGAAAATGAAGTTGAAAGCCAAGTGTCAAAATATTTGGAATTGTGCGAAAGCTATTGACATTAAGTTTCCTTTCCACATAATACTCTAAAGCTGTATTTGCCTTCAATATGAATGTATATGGAGAAGAACCTTACTGCAGAGTCAGAAGCCTAAAGTCTTGGAAAACAAACTTTATCACAGTCACAGTGCAATGATTGATGTCAAGACTGTTACAAAATATCCTTCAACAGAGCAAATGAGAGCAACAACAGAGGGTGAATAAAACAAACAAAAAAAATTTGTAAGGCACAACACAATACAATAATTACTGTATTTGGCAATTATCAAAATGAGAAAATATGTAAAACTTATGGCAGCAAAACAACAAGGATAACATAAAGCAAAGAACTCTCAACAATAAAACCTGGCAAAAACTTAAACATGACAATAAGTCAAAAGATTAAATACGTATGGCAGAACTTTCTGGAGTAATGTTTCTCTCACTGTAGATTAAACACTGCAGACAAGGGTGACAGTATGAGTTATTAAAGCCAAGCTGCCAATGAGTCAAAACGAAGGAACACATTGTGGAGAGCTTGATGACGCTCTGGTCTTTGACCAAGAGGAAGTCAAGATCATAACGTAAACCAATCTCAGCCATGAGAGAAAATTAAGTCAGCTGTGGTTAATTGTCTTGGATTTCACAGCTCCAATTTTCTGAAAACCAGTTTGAATAGCTGCATAAAGTTTATGCTTGGGATGCATACAAAAGCTTAGTTGTTACTGTACATCACTGGCCATTCATAAGTAAAATTCCATCATACATTTGACATTTTCATGTCATAAATGTTGCAATTCTTTAAAAACCTTAATTAACTACTTGTGAAGGTGGATTATCAGGAAAACCTTAATTTTCTCAGTCAGGCATTAGATGCTCCTGATCACAACGTTCATTTAGATGTGTGCCACTCTGAATATTTATATATATATATACACACACATACATTTAGATGTGTGTATTCATCGAATGTTCCCTAAACATACTTAATGTTCGATGACTATGCTCTTCAAATCTGCTTAGTCTTTGGTTTAATTCAAATAATTAGACAATCAGTTAACACCAACAGCTATAAGAAAATCCACTAGGTATTTGTGCTGATCAAAAGGATGTCTTAACGAGCGCGTCTGAACAGAGGGGGTTACTCTTTGCCACTAGCTATTGAAAACCATTGAAGCAAGAAGGAAATGATTGGGGATTTGTATGTTTTTCAAACAACAAAAGAAGCTTTGAATGGTGCTGTCTCTAGTATTAGTATGAGTGACAACTTGTGTGAGGGCACCCAAGACACTACTCTACTCACAGATGCATCACAATGAATATCATTGAACAGTTAATTTATCAGAATTAAACTATATGTATTAATTACAAAGTAATTAATACATATTGTATACATATACATATGTATTAATACAATACATACATACACAAAGTAATTAATACATATTAAGGTACAGCTTTGACAGTTGTGACTTAGAAACCCAGGATTCAGTTTCTGTGGAAATTAAATGAATAAGATTGATGTAGAAAAGTGTTATGACTAGGAAAATATCCAGTTGTCCAGCAGACAGTCACCATGGCCCTTCACATGGAGACCAAGGCTCATAAGCTTTCTACTGCAGAAGAAAAATGTTGCAAGAATCATTATTCAAGTATTGTTAAAGAAAGTTAAGCAAAAGAAAAAAATGACGGTAGATAACAAGATTGTGAAGCAAAGCACACTTAAGAGTTTTGGGGATATTCATAAGACAATACAGTGTTATTCACATTATCTTAGAAAGTTTACATTTAAAAGGTGTAAATAAGGCCACTTTCAGATTCATTCAGTCATTTTTGAGCTACACGCATTTATTGCATCTCGCAATCAACTGACAGCATCTAGAAAAAAACAGGAGATGCTGTCCCCTGTAGCCACCATCAACTCAAGGTAGCATAGGGTTGAGTAGTACTCATATGCTACATCATGGCATAGCGTAAAGCAAAAGACAGCAGCCGCAGCAATATGAGCATTTTGGTGCACACAAAATGGTCATATTTCATATGCACCAGTGTCTGTCTTATGCGCTAAGAAATATGTTAATACACAGAATCTGATTCAGACAATAAGGTTCGAAGGATAGACCACTGTATAGGAAACCAACTGGAGATTACAGAGGTAGACGCATCCAGTCCAACAAAAATTAAAGGGGGAAATGTTTAACTCTGATATAAACCAATAACTGTGATAAATGGCCTATTATGAACTCTGTAAAGGAACGACTTGTATTTCTTGCATTTTGTGATCCTGTTGATAGACCTTAGTGAGTGAGCTGTCATTTTCAGTTTTCAAGAACTGTTTTTATGAGGCCAAGTTGTTTCAGACATTACACTTCAAGGTGGAGAGCGGCGAGTCCTGAGCAGCCCAGCATGAGACAAAGACGGGCCTGTCTCATTGCAACTCTGTGGCAGGAAAAACAGGAAGGCTCCTGTCATTTCTCTGGATGATGGGAATTCTACAGGTGCACTCGATAAGTGAATGACGATGATAAGTAAGAGACTGGATGCTTAATTTAAGGCTGCCTCAGCCACCGTTGCTTTTTCTCGAACATCATTAACCCCTCCAGCTGCATGAGCACGTGTTCAGTTGAAGGATATAAATTGCCCTTGGAAAGGCGCCATCGGGGTTTAAAAGTTGTTTTTAAATGCCAAACTTACTGAGGAGATATCTGTACATAACCACTGAATACCACAATCCTAAGGTATTTTACATGACTTGCAATATAGAACATTGTAACAACAATCTTGTTCAAAAGATAAACATTTTTCTAACTTTTGCACTCAGCTGTATGCTGCTGACTATACAAACTTCTGTTTTCAGAGGTGCCCACACTTGTTGATGATTAATAAATCAAATACATTTGATAAGAGGCTCCTTGTGGCTCCTTTACCTTTCAAATCATATGAAAGCTCTAAGACTGTACTCAGTTTTTGCCAAACAGCCTGTCGATCTTTTTGAAACAGTTTAGAGACTTTTGTGTTTTTCTACCTCTGAGGTAATAATTAAACAATTGCAGAACTTGGCAAAGACCTCATAGGTTTTTTGTTCTAAGACATTAGAAGAATTGTATAAGGGATGTCTCCTTTTTTACTACACCTACATGTCCAGATAGTACAGCGACCTGCCACACCAGCTCCTCCAACAATTCAAGCATGTTTCTTCTCGTCGATTTCACAATGGCGCACAAGCTGACACAAACAAAAGTTATGTGAAATCAAACTATAAAGTAAAATTTAGAATAAAACCACCGAAATATTCAGAGTGGCCTCCACGTTGTCCCCACTTTGTATCGTCATCTTGTACTGCACTCATCTGTAAATTAACCTCTGACACAGCTCTCTACTTTCCTTTGTAAAATACCTAATTCATGCGGAGTGCAGAGGAGAAAGTGGAACATTTTTGTGGGGATTACAGCACCCGCAAGAACGTGTTGCAGGAGGATTAACCAGGCGGCCACCCGTGGATTTACGCAGACAAAAAGGTATCATCAAAATGACAAAAGACTGCAAGAGGATCTAAAAGCCAAAGGCAGAATGGTGAGATAAAGAACCTGAAGGCTGGTGCATTGGCCCCGAAGTAAAGATGCAAGGTGTTTTAAGACAATAGGAAACAACATCAATCACTCCATGGAGACAACCAGGTTGCTTTGGTCATAAATTTCCAGAAAATAAAAGGGCATGTCTCAACAAGAAAAAAAGATTAAGTTTAAATTACCTTCAACAAAGTGTTAGTTTACAGTGTTTAAATGCAACACACAGCATTTATTCTTATTTGAATACATAAAGAAAATCAGGACAAAAAATAAAAAACACAACCAAAGAAGCCTTTGTTTGTTAGTTTTCTGAACTTGATTCTTCATTCCTAAACAGCACAGAGCCTGAGTGGCAGCAATATTTTAGTGCCAGGCAGGAAGTAAATCCAAATCATGAAAAACCACATGCATCATTTGTTTCTGGATTACCTGCCATTCCCATTTTATTTGCAGTAATGCAAACAGTTCCCAAAGACACTGCAGATTATGTGAAGAATCTGTGTTCCCATTGATTCTGGAGGGTTAGAGAGAAGATGGTAACATTAAATATTTAATTTGATTTATTGATCACAAAAGGCAACCAGAGTTTTAAGAATGCAGGAAATTGCCAGTTTAAAGAAACTAGATATGTTCTAGCTAAGCTACTTTGACATTTGTGAGTAAAAAGTCTGACACAGAAGAAGGGAGGAACTCTGGGAATCTCTAGCCTTGGCTCACACTGTTTTAGGTTGTGTACTGTGCTGTAAATTTGATGTGTAATTAAGATAAATTATAGTGGTCTATCATACATTTTGTCATGAAAACCCTTGTTATCCATTTAAATAGGAAGAAAAATGCCATAAATAAAATTTGGTGGAGCAAAAAGCTGAAAGCCTTTGCATGGTGTGCAAAACTTATTGCTTTCACACTGCTCAGCTGAACGGGGCCACACCACACACACTGCTGCTAATGTCTGACTCATTTAATGGCCAGCCACAGGCAGATGCAGTGAAGGATAAAAGTTACGAGCTTGCTAGAGTTGGAGAAAGTGTATCTAGAAATATTGAGATGTATGGAGACTATTTTGCCAACAAAACATTATCGATTAATTTAACAGTTACAGTTTACAAACTAATTATAGATTAGTTTTAGTTAGTGTTAAAAGAAAAAAATTGGCTTTCTTTTATTTCAGCTCAATAAACAAGATTAATGTAAAAACTATACTTTAATAAAGGACTGCATATCTTCCACTGAAATTTTTGTTATTACCTATGACTACACGTAAAAGGTCTGTGTTACTTTTTCAATGAAACTGAGTGTTTTTACTTTCAAATGATCAGAAATTAAAAGATTCCTTGAGTTGTAGACAATTTCAGCTGGAGCATCTGCAATAAAACATCTCTACATTTTCATGCCATCATTGTATGTTGATCGCCAAGAAAAGTAACTGAGCCAATTAAATTGTAAGCACTGCAAATAAAACTCACCATGAATGTTATCACTCTTCAGAGGAGCCTGTTTATGAAGCAACTGTCTCTTCTGTCTCACTCTCTTCATCATCAGAAAAATGTTGATGGATAGGGATGCCTTGTGACACTAAACTGCAACCTGGATACAGAAAGAGCTCATATGTACTCACAGATAACATTGAATTCCCAACTACAGTAGTAAAGAACTTAACATTTTAAAAATCCAGGGCCTTCGAAAAGTTTAAGATGCATTTGTTACTAAAATATTTTATGTCTTTTATGAAGATTTTATGTAATAGACATTTTCAGTGGGATTCAGAAACCATCTTAAAAATATAAATAAGTGATGTGTAAAGCAAAAGTATTACCTGAGGTTTAAAATTATTTCTAATTGGGGATTCTTATGGCACATTTGTAGCTGGTTCAGGACAGTTATCTTGTTAACCCTTGTCAACCTGAGACAACTTCACAACCTTTATCATTAATAGAAATCTAATATTCCTCAACAGTCCGGTTGCAATAGATTACATATGAAGAGGCAAACACACCTGTTTGCCCTGTAACACTGCCACTAGCCTGTTCACATTCAGAGATTGCCAGATTGAGAACCTGTTTTAGAGGGGGGGAAAAAAACACTTGTTCTGTCCTGATTTAGAGATAAGAAAAACCTACCATAGCTGCCATCATTACACTTAAATCAATAAAAAATAGTTTTTCTTTATGATTCTCCTCCTAAGAAGCTCGGCCCGTCAGTCAGACTGCATCTCACCTTCCTCTCCATTCTCTCTCTATCTCTGTTATCGCTGAGTCCCCTCATATGAGTGATGCTTCCTGTGTTGTCAGTATCAGAAGCTAAACCTGGAGGGAGTGAGTCAAAGAAAGCCACCCCCAGCTCTGCACAGCATGAAAACACAGCCTGGGGCCTAGAGGTCAACAGGGGCCAACATGTCAGAAGGGGAGGGGGGAGAATCAGAGGCCACTAAAACATCAGGCTGCCCTGCTGTTGTGTGTCTGATCCAAGTGAAGCTTGGTGACAGCTAAATGGACGGGGATTCACATGGTCCAAATAAATTCAATTAAATAACTTTGTGGTGATTATTTTACTTTTCACATGTTTGTGATTTTTGCTATGAATCAATGGGAAGATTTTAAAATTCGTTTGATAATTTTTTCTTTTGGAAGTTAGATAAATTTTGTACTTTTCACATCTTTGTGTAGATTATGAATCAATGGCTTGGTGGGGAAGATTTTAAAATCCCTTTGATCTTTTCTTTATTTGTAAGTCGGACAATATTGTGAGAAATAAAGAAAGACAAGTGTTCAGAGGTCTTGCTGACAAGCTGCAAATCTAGCAAATTGTGACTTTATACTCCTCCAGGGCTCTGAACAACCAAGTGTGTGAATAAATGCCTGAGAGGAGGACGTGAGTGTGTATGCGTGTGTGTGTTTCTGTGACAGAGAAAGTGGAGAACCAAAGAACACAGTTTGTTGAAGTCACAACATGTGTTAATTTCTCTTTGAGTAGTCAGAGTTTGGCTCATATTACGAACGCACCCATAGAGAAAGTGGAATCACAGTACAGCAGGCCGTAGAACCGCAGCAGGAAGGCGGGTGGTGGGGTTATGATGTCACATGGCTACCCTGCATGATGCAGAAAGTGGCAGACCACCTCACGGCTGGCCGTGTTGAAGCAATCAGGGCAGATTTACTCACAAGTATTTCCCAGAACTAAGCTACCTGGGGGTATGTTCTCTGCTTTCAAGTTTCTGCTCAAAGTCTCTGCTGCTTGAATATTAAATTACCTTTAACTGCGCAGTTTATTGGATAGTAAAATCTGTAGAAGGAGAGCTAAATTTTAAGAGTTTCACTAAGAGCTGTCGTCATTACTATATCACATGAGAGAGGATATTGGTAATAGGAGTAAGCTTGACAAGTTCAGAATCGTTGTTCGCTCCGTCCTTTCCTGGTACCTTGCATAAGTATTTGCTCTCTATTTTGTCACATTGCAACAAACATAAGTGTATTGTGAAGTGATTTGGTTTATTAGAAAAACACAAAGCAGCTCTAAATTATGAGGTGTAATGAAAAGACATGTTTTCAGTATTTATAGACATCTCAGAAAAGTGAGTTATTCAGTTAATGAGTAAAAGCCTAGCAGAACTAGGTTTTGCTGCCACCATAGTCAAAAATATTTTGGTGTATGTGTCTTTGAGCTTTACTCAGTCAGATGGAGATGTTTGCTTGCTTTTTTGGAAAGCAGCACAAGGTTAGTCAGATTGGATGGAGAATCTTCAGAAAGATACATTTTAGGCCTAAGGACAGATTAATAGTTACACTGAGATCTCAGCTCTAATCACACACTTAATTATGTTTTGATCGTGACAAGTTTGGCTGTACATTTACCATCATTAATCTGACTGAAGGTGAGCCACAATTACAATCTTGAATGTTTTGCAGCTTTTAAGAATACCATAAAAATTCTGCCACTCATTTTTCTAGAATTGCACCTCTTTCTTTCATAAAGAAATTATTTTTAGAGTATATGACTAAGATGTTTTGTCTTCAGCTCCTTCTGAGTTATCTAGAGCCAGTTGAATCATACAATTTCTATTTTCAGTGGACTGACTGAACAAATGTTCAAAACCTTGAAATTATGTTTTATAGCCTGAACCTTCTTTAAACTTTTAATCTTTATTCATGACCTATCTTCTGTGCTCCTTGATCTTTGTAGTAGATTTTTTCTTTCACTAATGCTCTTCAAGAAACATCCAAAGCTTTCAATGAATAGTTGGACACATGCTTAAATTATACTGTGTTCACTATGTAACTCCTGAAGATATTTGGCTGCACTATAGTTTATTCAAAGGTAAAACAGTAATGTGGGCTCACTAAAAATTAACCCCAATATTGTCAGTCTGTCATTTATATTTATTTTAAAAAATTGATAACTTTAATGCATTGTTTTTCAAAAACCTACAGACCTTTTATGAGGATAGTTGACTCCTGAGAGGGATGTCCACCGTCTTCACTCTGAGAGGCCTCACCTTCACTGAGTGCAATTTAGAAAAGAGATTAGTTTAATGTACAAGGTTAAAAAGAAAAAGAATGAGTGGATACATCTTAATTAAAATAAGCCTCGCCTGTTAGTATGCCCAAATACTACAATAGAAACATACAGCAAAATAAGACATTGGGAAAATGTAGAAGGATGTCAAATTTATGGGTTCACTGTTATCAGAAAAATATCAACTTTTTCAAAGTAGTCACATAAACCTGTGTCTTCTTTCATCCTCTTTTTGCTGGTCATCAGTGTGGCTGAGCTGTTGGACGGTCGCTTGCAATCCTCTGATCTTCGCTTTCTTCTCATTTAACACCATGACAAAACGCGAGTACATTTCCTTTTCTAACGTCTCCTTATGCTTAACCTGCTGCTCCAGCCTGTTGGGACAAACATACAGTATCTCCATGTGAAAGTGAACACACAAACCACTAAAATGTGTTTTAACGTGCCTTCTTATTTGACGGTTGGGATGGTGCTGGCAGGGACCCCAAGTTTACAGAATACCGTAACTGATCTGAAATCGGTCACTACGTTTGTGCCGTGCACAAACAGAAAAAAATATATATAAATTCTGTATTTTTCACAATGTGTGGAAACAAGGTGTGAAGCTTCTCTGTTACGCGTTACAGAGCTCAAAGCATTAACCAAATGTTAGAAAAACCAACACATGGTGCGAAGCACTTTTCAAACTTTAGGATTGTGCATAGAAAAAAAAAAAAAAAAAAAAAAAACGAGTCTTCAGAGGATTCTGTTACAATATGAATGTAACCACAAATATACAAAATTCCACAACAATTTTCATACAGTATTGGTGGAAAAAGCATGAATTCAAGGAAATACAGAAACTTTTACATGTCTAACAGTTGCCAATCTTCCAGGACTGAATATTCCAGCAAAATTCTTCCAATCTATGGGCTTAAAAGTTTACTGCCATACTTTGTGACATTTTATATTAAAAGTAATGATAAAAAATAATGAATAATATTTACATACTTTTTTGTTTTTAGAGTATTGCTCACAGGGAGAATTTGGTTTTTCAAGCTTGGATTTTCAATTTTGACTTTATCTTTGTTTAATCAATAACCGTGTAAAATCAGACGTGTGATATTAAAGATGTGTGAAAAGATTTGTTTTCTTTTTGTTAATCATACACTATAAATTCCAATGGATATGAATAAATGCTAACATAGTTTTTAAAAAAGTCAGCAGAAAATATACTTAACAACAGACCAATTTTTCATTGTTTTTCGAGACTTTTTTCTTTGAACTTCTTACTCTTTCAGTATACGCTGGTGATCCTGTCTCAGTGTACAGTTCTCCTCTAACAACTTTGAATTTTCTGTCTCCAGATCTGCTCTGTGCTGCAGAGACTTCCCGATCATCTCCCGGATGAGCTCCACAGAGTCTGGTGCTGGCTGAAGCTCTACAGAGCCCAAGTGTATCTAAACACCCCAAAAAAACAAAGAAAGAAGAGCATTAAAAGGCGGCAAAAATGAAGAACAATTGCATCAGGCTCTTTTTGTATTTTAGTACTACAATAGCAGAAAATGAAGATTTTTCTGCATGTTCTCTGGCTTTATTATTTATGGGTGGCCAAATGGCCCAGCAGTAAAGCATGACCTTAATTACCAAGCCCTCTTCCTTTGCATTGACAGACTTACTGCCTAACACGTCCATCCTTTTGAGCAAGGCCAACTGACAACTCAAGATGGATGTAGGTCTAAATAACCGCATTGACACTGAAACACAAGTGGATTCTTGTAGTGAAGCTGCAAAAAATCCTGAAGAAAGTCCACTTGGCACTGCAGTCTTGACAGTGACGCATAAAATTGCTAACTGGCCTCATCTAGCTTCCAAAAATCTACCAGCTACCAGTGAAAAATGAGTAAGCATTTGCACCTTTCTGTCATCATGAGAAGTTCTGGTGGTGCAACAAACATTGCATAAAATTTTCTCTGAAGTGGGAGACTGTTTGAGAATGAGGTGTTTTGTTATGTCTGGGGAAAAAAGCCGGATGACTTATTTATTCGCCGATAAAACTATGCAAGTGAGACATTGCACCGTTCTTTTTTTTTTTTCGGTAGCTCTTTAGAATTAAACACATCCTTCTGATGCAAAAAAATAATCCACATTTGGTTTTCGTTTTGGCATGAACTCACCGAGAAAGAACTTAGAAGCAAATGCTGCACACAAAAAGATTTCGAGTTTTCCACCAATTTGATGTAGAATGCCAATTTTATCATTGAAAGCAGCTTTTCATATTTGGTTGGCTCCCTGGTCATAGCAGCATTTTCACTCACTCACATAGACGCACGCATATACGCATATATGTACACACACACGCATGCTTACACATAACATGGTACAGTGAAAAACCAGAAGGCAATAAAGTGCTAAATCTTTAACTGTACAGAAGTTGAAGAAACACTGTAATAAAGCCGCCATCTTCAAAATAGCTGTCATTTTTCACCTGGATTGATGCATTTCTTGCAAATCACACGGCTGTTTTACCCTCTTTTGATTAACTTGAATGTGTCATTTAACAACTGAGTTCACCCTGTCCTGAGATTTTCTTATTTTTGTGCATATTATCTTGCATTCTAGTACATTTCAGCTTAAAAGTTTGCTTCAAGTAATCTTTTTTTCTGACTCTGAACAAGTAGTCCAAATAATCAATTATCCATTCATTCCCTATAGCCACTTGAACAATCCCAGTATGCTGGGGACCTTCTTCAGTGATCATTAGACAATGATAGACTTAGTCTATCACAGAGACTTCATGCATATGGACGGACACTCATCTAAGAGCAGCTTAGAGGAGCAGATAATAGCTATGTTTTAAACTGTGGGAAAATGCTGGAGTACACAGAGAATAGTCTGTTGTTTTCCAATGCCTATTGCTGATTTCTCAAATGTGCAACAGTCTGGAAGAAAAGTTAAAATCAAAAGTTTTCTAAAAACTAATAGGAGTTTCTGTTGTTTTTTTTATATATATATATTCCAGTTCTTATTCTTTGCTTACCTGCAAAAATTGCCATTTTTGAGAAAGAAGATTTAACTTGGGCCACTATGATTATGCATTGACCACTCCCTGCAACTTGTGACTTGACGAACTTGATAGGATGAGCACAAGAAGAAGACCACCCAGAATTTATGGAGGATGATCCTAAGACCTAAGGCATGTTCAGTAACATTATGCTGTCTCAGATGGCCAGAGCAGTGTTTTCTCATGGAAGGACTTAGTGTGACTTGAAGCTTAATGAGTCATCAGCATGTTGATGTAGCTGTGATCCGGTAGATGGGTGGCAAGATTGTTTAGTTTGGCAAGTCTGGCAGAGACACCCACTAAGAACGAACAAAGGTTGTTATATCAAGTTTCAGTACTGGTCACCTGATTATGTTTAATTCCAATTCCAAGGCTGGGAGAGGATACATTTTACCATCTGTTTGCAAAAGCTAGGAGGCTACCAATTTGAGAAGGTTAGTGGAAGCTTTGATCTTCCTCTAACCTCCAATCCATCTTCTCTCCAACCCCATCTTATACTTCTTGCTATCTACATCTAAATCTCTCCAATGCTCTCCACCTAAGAAAGGTCATATGACAATAAATCAACCACACATTAATGTTAGAAAAGAAGTGAACTCTGACATGCCGAGTACACAAATATTTCAAGAACAGAGTCAATGCTACCCATCATTTGCAGTGCAACTTTTAATCCAAACTAACACCTGGAACTTTGTCAATCTTTCCTCTGCATACTGACAGAGTTTAGGCACATAAATCTTCAATCAACCAGTTGAAGGCACCAGAAACAGACATCTAAACCTCCGCTAGGTCAGACTCTATTTACTGAATGAGCATTAGACTAACTTCAGCTGTTGTTTATTTATTCTGCTCCTGCTGACTTTTAAATGCCAATGGTTGCATGCTTCTCCGTCCTGGGTTTTCTAAGAAGATCTACAGCTGTAAACACAAGCATTTAACATCACCAAGGGTTTTCCTTTATAGCACGGAAAATGCAAGACATATTCTAAACAATCTATAAATACTCAAATCTATTCCAACAGCTTGCTTGCCATTTACTGAAACATTGTAATTAATGCAGTTTAAAGAAGCCAAGGTAAATGTATATTTTACTTTGGCTCCTTCAAAAGTAAGGAGTGGAGTGAAATATTCTATCAACTTTTCCTGTCTCAATTTGTTTCTCCTGACACACAAAGTTAAAGGTCATCTTGTTGCCAACTTCTGCCAAGATGTGGGAGGTCAGACTCTTTGTCTGTGATGGAAAACCTACTGCCACATTCTTTTTCTCAACTGAAACAACAACAAAGCAAAGATTTTGTCCACAGTAAGTATTTCTACCTCCAAAAAGTTTATAAAAATCTCACAAAAAGCACAGTGTTCTAAGCTTTCACACGAAGATATAAGAAATTAATAGTAGCATTATCACTAAGTGAAAAACTTAAATTCTTTTCACACCTTGTTTCTGAGATCCCTCTATTTTCTTTTAAGTAGACACAATATATCTTTCTTTAAGAAAAAAACTATAATAACATAATTTAGGACAATGTGTTAAAATCAAAACTTCTGGTTTCTCAAATCTACAGTGTGGTTCAGAGTGTGTGGTCTGGAAATTTGTTTGTGTATGTCTGTCTCAGTCAGACCATAGGGTCAGATGCTGACATGGGTGTGCAGCACAACTGTTCTGGTGAAAATGACACCGCAACATGCCGTGATAACAAACAAGGGGTTTGTTATCATACCCATCAATACTGCTTAAAACTTAAACCAGCATCTAGTGTTACCGTTTTGGGATTATGTCTTCCTTTAATCAAGAGGATTTTTGTGGTATCACTCCATAATCTCCCTTTAAACAGTTTGGCTTTCAAATAACAGCATAGACCACTGATTATATTGAATATTTTTAATGCGTTAACCAAAAAAAGTTGGCCTAAATGTTTACATAGAGACTGCTTGAAACTTCTACAATATCTGAGCTACAGTCATTTACAGAACTTGAAACTAACACTGCACATTGCCCTAGACATATCTTACAGTGAAATATGTTGGTGGCTGCAGCATGTTGTGGGTTGGATGTCTAGCAAGGACACAAAAACTGTTCAAGGTTAATGTTAGATGTTCAGAGCCAAATGTAGAGCAATACAGAAAGAGAACTGGTACACACAAAAAGGCTACAGGGGAGATTCATCTTTCAGCAGCACAGTAACCCTAAACATAAAACAAAAATTATAATTTTATGCTTGAAATTAAAGCTTTTTTGTGTGTTATAATTGCACAAATACAGACATAAATCCAACTGAGATTAAAAATATGTGGTTAAAACTATTATTACATGTTTTCCAATAAATCTGTGTGAGCTTGAGCTTTTTTTCCAAAGAAGAGGCAATAAATTCAGAGGCTATATTTGCAAAGCGAGGAGAGACATACCCCCCAAAAATTTGCAAAAATGGATGAATCTATCAGATCATCAGGGCTGAACCTAAATGCATTTTATGATTTTTTTGTTTTTAAAACTATGCTGAGCTATTTCAGAGCATAAACATTGGCAGAGTTTGAGAAAGTACATTGTCAAACATATCACTTATATATAATTTCAGTATTTAAATAGCTATTGTGTCTACCAAACAGGGAAATGAGTGGGTGACCAGGAGCTTCTCATGACGATAAGACAGTTTTCAAGGTTTGGCACGGCTACTTGATATGGAAAATGTGGCCAAAGAAGTTGAAATCAGCTTGTCTTCTCTGTCCCGATCTGTGAGTGGGCATGACTCCAGATAAAGTGAAGGAAGTGAGGGGCGACAATCAGTCCAGTCCTGATAATACAAACTTTCACAGAAACAGCAAAACAAGCTACCACAGGTCTTTCTCAAGAGCAGGTAGTAGGGCAAAAAATACTTCCTTTAATGAGGTGTCTGAATTCAAAGATGTTTTTTTGTTTTGTTTTTGCTTCTGCTTAGATGAGAGTTCATTAAAATAAAAAAATTATTCCCAATAAAATTGGTTTTGGCTGAAAGTATTAAAGGAATCCAAGGTTAAGTTGATTCACTAACACAAGACCCTATCCACTCTGGTGACGTTCCATTGGAAAAAGAGACCCAGGTGCCACAATGACTAACTGCAGCTAACTATAATACCTAAAAAAATAAATAATCATTTCTGCTGGGCTTTCTTCAGGCTGAAAGTAAGCTGCTAATTTGTATTTAATATTTTATTTATCTGTTATATTTAATCAGTGGGTAACTGATTAAATATTGGATTTATATTTTCTAAAAATACATGAGTTCCTCTAGAGGAATCCCAAGGCCTTCCAGCAGCCAGGCAAGAAATAAAGTTATCTCTTTATGCTCATGACTTATTTCCATTTGTGTCCAGAGGCTGTAACAGTAATGGTAACAGCTGAAAAATAAACATCTTATTTCATCTAGTTTAGTTGACATACACTAAGTACTTAGTCCATTATGAATAGCAGGTTAGTTGCACTTTTAGCTTCATCAATAGGCCCATTCAGAGATGCACAAAAAAGATCTGCAGATTCCCCAGAGGTTCAGGGGGATGGGGCGTTAGCAACAGATTGTTTGAGCCCTGTGGATTGGAGGGTGGGGTCTTTTGGATTGGGGTTTGCTTACCACAGATGTTATCAGACCACATTAGATTTGTATCTGATGAGTTTGGAGACCAGCTGCAGATTTAAACCTTTGTTGTATTATCTGAACTATTCCAAACTATTCCAAGCAGTTTCACATATCATTGTTCTGCCTGAGGATGGCCTGCAAGCGAAGGGGCAAGCTGATGACATGTTTTGCTGTATCACAAGTCTGACACATCAAGTTGAATACCTGAGTAAAGGTATTTGCTAATAAAACACTGAAATTCAAGAAAGAGAGCAATGTCACCGACTGTACCAATTAATGTTGTGGTTGAGATGTGTATTTGACTTAGTCACACTTTTGATTCCTTGATTTTCTTTTCTGTCACTGCACTAAAACAGCTGAGCAATTGTCTAGGTTAAGGCCTTAGATCATGACTAATTTTAATTTCGTTATTATTCCCTGTCATAAAAATAAAAAAATACTAGACCCCAGGAAGGCTGAGTATATTTCAGTCTCATTTATTTGATTAATCAGGTCAAGTCAGCTTTAATTTAATATGAACCATCAAATTCTATATACAACTTTGGAATGAATACAATCTTCAAGTATAGAAGATTTTGTAATGTGGAATTGTGTCTGAGATGGTTTAAAAATCTTTATTTGAAGCAGACATCAACATGTTTCTGTTACAGTGCTGCCCGCACAGCTAAAGTCTGTGGGTCCAAGACATGCAATTGCTGCAGCGTCACCTTATTTAATATTAAGATTTCAGTCATCGTATCATCCAGAATAATTCAGATCATTTAGATTTTCTTCACTATTGCTCATCATGAGGACATGGTCATATGAGAAAAATCTGCTCACAGGCCGCTCAGTCACATTAACCAAGGAAGAAAAGGTCACTAATCAACCAATGTGTAAGACAGGACAGCTCTGTTCATAAATCAAGGTTTTATGGTCTGTACTGTGTTCCTAACCTTCTGGCCCTCTTTCTGTGATCATTTTCTTTTGAGCAGTGCCCATAGACCATTACTGACCTGCTCCCTAAGGGCAAAAGCAGCCCTAGGTTAGAAGAATGACATGAAAATCAACAGGGAGAATCCAGAGCTGTTCTTTATCAAACGTGTCACTTGCAGTGAGTAATTCTCCAGAGCCTTAGAAAAGGGATTAGCTTATGCTTTTGAACATTTTCTGGATTTAACAATGACTGTTGGAAATATTTTACGTGACAACTTTTTCTTAATGGTAGCTATGTCATTATGTTTCTATTGATGGCAAGACAGATGTTATTTGTAAAGTACAGTTTGTGACTTTTTTTTCAGTTTCCTGTGGGCAGCAAAACCTTTTTAACTCCACTATAATGTTGGGAGGCAATAAACCTTATCTTTAAAACAGTCCCCACCGTAAAAGAATAAAAAGCTTCCTTTCTATTTTTGTTGTTTGAGGCATTTATCCTCAGGGAACGGTGACAACAGGACATAATGTCATTGCATTCAAAAGCACTGACACATCTTCACCAGTAATTGAAAGCACTCAAAACCAGTACCAGCAAATCAGGCAGCAGTGGAGCTTTTCAGCATATAAACCAGATGAGTGACCTGTCAGTTAATGCATGTTGTTTTTTAATAATAAATAAATGTTCTGAAATTAAAAATTAGATGTTATTCTTTATATATAAACTAAGCTTATAGTCTGTCAACATAAAACAAGTTGAAGTATTTATTTTGATTTTAACCAAGGGAGTCATTAAGTGCGGAGGGAAGTGAAATTTTTCAGTTAACATAATGAGTAAGACTATGTTTGCACTGCAAGTCGTCATGCTTATTTTGCAAAGAGCTGATCCATGGCAGGGGAAGTAATGGACCATGTTGTCCTTATGGAGGTAAGTGTTTATGCAGTATGTTTCTCTGTGAGCACAGACTCTGAAGCTGTTCAAAGTGAGCAAAGAAGGACACTTTGCTCACACTAACAGTGTCTCCTCCAACACAAATGTGCAAGTATGTCACCTTTTAATGATTTGTCTGATCTATATTGTTAGGTCGGTCAAAACAAACAAAAAAAAAAATTCTGCAAACATTTGTTTGCAGAATGTACATAGTCTATGCTGCATTAATAAAGGTTGAGCTGAATTCAACTATTGTTTCAGGTAAAATGTCTTGTAAAGAGTCTAAAAGTATATAAAGATATTTTATTTCTTGCCATTTTTTTGTCACAGTTAATTATGTTAATTAATCATCATTGCAAATAAAGACAATGCTAATGAATTCTGGTAGAATGTTTTGGAAACAAACATACACTGAAAGACATTCTCACCAAAATGCCGTTGCAGATCTTCTGATATGAAAGAAGTTTGTGATCTGAAGAGAGGCAAAAAGAATACTCCTCTTTGCCATTTCGTTTTCCTCCCACTCTTTCTTCACCTTTTGTTAGAGCTTGAAGAAGATCTTCAACATATTTCTCCCTGATGACTCCCATCTCATTTGCTTCTCTTGTCACCTCATCCTCTGAAACTGACAAAACAATCACCAGTCAAACAATTACACTCTTGGAAGGCTTTTTTTTTTACTTTTATTATGACATTATTTCATAAATGCATGGAACTGGGAGTTCACAGAAGATTGAAAGAAAAACTATAAACATTAATTAAGCAGTAACAAGAGTGCTTGTGAAAGCAGGTTTTAAAGGAAGCTTGCAGAGAAACCAGGGGGAATGTCATCAGTTGTTGCACAGCTGCTAATGCTGGCTCGAAGGTTCCAATTAACACATCAAACAGAAACACTGACAACCCAGGATCCCACACATAGCTGTCGCAATTCCATCTCTACCTGTCAGCTCTGCAGATGGACAGAAAAAAATAACTATGGAGTAGTTATGTTCCAGGTGTGCTTTAAGAGAACACCTAGTCTCATACACACGTAACCAGACCCACACATACACACAGATACGTCGTCGCATATGTACACACAGTCACATTAGCATTGGCTTGTATTGACAAAGACAACCCTTGTAGAGTTTAATATACTTTCTACACCTGTAAGCTGCACAGTATAGCAGTAAAGAAGAATAATGAAACAAGGTCGCCACTGTCCCTCAGGTTAAGCAATCAGAACAGTCATGACATTATGAAATGGGGTCAACCAGGTGCTCTGGAGAGCCTGGTGAATGGTACACCTGCTGACAAAGACATTTTTTACCACTAACTCGTTGGAGTATCTTTTTGTTAATAATCTGGATACAGTTTTCAAATATAAAGGCCTTACCTTCTCCGATCCACGCTGAGCTTCCGTCAGTAAGAGCTAATGTGAATCCAGCACCCAGGTCCACAGCCCAGTCAACTCTTAGGAAGTAGGGGACGCCTGGATTCAGAGTAATCTGCTGAACCGTGCCACTCATGTCTCATATAACCTTAATACCTGCAGAATATCAAAAACAAGTATTCACAAATTCTAAACAAAACTCCATATATTCATCTTTTGTCTTTTACTTATTAGAGATCAGAAAATTCTGGTATTCCACCCCAGAAACGCTCCAGCTCCTTCTGGGGAATACAAAGGTGTTCCCAGGCTACAACAAAATTCAAATTGCCTCCAGGAGGTACTTGGTCTTCCTCAGGGCTTCCGTTCAGTGAATGTCCCCAAAGGGCATCAGATGCCAGAACTACTTAGACCAGCTCCTTCTGATGATGTAGAGAAGAGGCTATACTTGAGGTTCTTCCCAGATGGTTGAGTTCTTCATCCTCATTTCTCTACTTGTGTCTGGAGTCTTGCTCCTTCAGTGATGATTTAGAATTTAAAGTTTTGCTTTCTGTCTTAGTTCCTTTTTCACTACAACAGACCAGAGCTGCATCCATGTTCTGGAATTCAAAGTCATCATCCATTCAGCGGCACTTCATTCTACCATCACCAGTGAAAAAGACACCAGCATATTTTATATCTTCCACCTAAGGCAGAGGCTGACCACAATCTAAAGAGAGCAATCAACCTTTTTTTTTTTCCGGTTGAGAACTATGCCCTCAGACTTCAGTGGTTCAATGACCTTGATGAATTGCAGATCACAATAACAGACGAAACCTTTCCCAGACTAAGCAGGCCAGGGGATCCCCCAAGAGCCTGGACTGTCGGGGGTGGGAGGAAACATTGTGGGGGAGAGCCTGGTGGTCGAGCGTTTGTTCCAGGCTTGACCAGAAATATCAGAAATGCCTAACCAAACGGAAATAGAAATTTCAGTCTGAGAAATGCAAGCGGGGAGGCAGAGAATGTTAATTTCAGCATAAACTTAGTTTTGGTGGAAGCATGAAGGCATGTTTCTAAGTAAAATTGTATTATTCTAAATGTATAAAACAACAGCTCCCTTTTATGTGGTCAGCTTACTTTATTGGCTTTTTAAATGAGGTCAGAGAACCTAATTTGAAAAAAAAAAACACAAAAAAAAAACTAAGAACATTGTAGAGTTATCAATCTGCCAGATGCATCAATGTACTTCATTGTTTTACTTCTTGGCTTTGGTGAGAAAGGCTCCTTGTGCGTGTCTTCGGTGGGGGTATTTCTGAGTCGGTGGGGGTATTCCTGAGTCAGTAGGCCCACATGGATATTAACAGGTTTTGGCAGATTTTTTCTTTCTTTCTTTTTTGTGGGAACGTGTTGCTTATTAACAGCAAGATAATCACATGCTGTTAAAAGGAAAATACAAGACTATTAAATCTCAAGTAGCTACTTGAGTGCATTCAGAGTATTAATTTATCATATATGCAAACACTTCTAACATTTCATCGCCAGTCATCTAAGCGGCATCTTATGGACTCCTAAAAACATGTGGACATGTCAACTTAAAGAGTATGATCAGCTATTGTAAGCTTCCTGATCTAAAAATTCTCATTAAAAACATTAAATTTAAAGATCATAAAAAGTTATTATATTTTGGTTTTGGAAAGTTTATTTATAATTTTGTTTGTTTTGTAATTTTGTAAAAAACAAAAAACAAAAAAAAAAACTTTTTGTTCTTTATTCATCCAAAGTTATGTCAAACTATTACAAGGAAATTCAAACCGGTGAGACCCACTCATGTTAAAGAGTTTCCTGCTGTGAAACTGAATTGTTATTTGCCTGTGCCACAGTGATAAACAGTCTGAGCCACATAACCCTCTGGCTAATGTCTTTTCTGCCTGACTCACGGCTGCAGTTAAAATGAGGGCTCCAGCTAGAAACAGCTGTCTTTCTACAGCTAAGACCTAAACTGTTCATAGGGTTACAATATAATCTGAGTCTGTGCCTAAAAAGCCTATCTAGTTGCCAAGATGTACATGTTGTGCTCTATTCAAGCCTTTTGAGAAACGTTTACTTCTTCGTGAATAGTCAATCCTAAACATGTATTTATAAATTTCACAAGTAGTGATTTAGAGAACTTCCCTTCTTAAACACAGGGCAAAGAGTGTGGAGAAGGAAGGAAAAAGCCGTCTAAATTAGCAGTTAAGAACGCTTAACAATTTGGGGGCTAAAAGGCAATGACTGGCCATGTTGAACTATGCAATGACATGATGAACTTTTCACTGTTAAGTAGTTACTGCAAGCTATTGTTAGTCATGCTTCATACACACAATTTAATCAAAGATGTGTCCACAAAGTCAATACAGAGAAATGATATAGATTATAATGTAAAAACACAAAGTATTACGTTGCAAACATCCACCTATTTCCACACAGTTGTGCTGTGATATCACCAAAAAGGTGGCAGTAAGAATTTAAGCCTTTATTGATTTGATTGAAATCAGAGGATATCAGAGGCAAAGTTAACACCTCAGCTGAGTGACTTTGTTTCTCAAATCATCCCTAAGTCAATACATGCTGACCGAAAAAAAAAAAAAAACAAGCCCAGAAAAAAACAAGCAAAAGCTCCAGTTTCAACATCAATGTCATTCAAAGTGATGCAATCTGAAAAGATAACAATGTGAAAGTACCTATCTTTCTTCTACACACACACACACACACACACACACACACACACACACACACACACACACACACACACACACACACACACACACACACACACACACACACACACACACACACGCCAAAACACCAAAACCTGAGTACATGTAAAAATGTAACATGGAACAGATTAAGGATGACCCTTTGTGCTTCAAGAAGGGGCAACGAATGCCGTTGCTAAAGGCATCAACTTTAACCTCATAAAGCAAGCCCAGCTACTCATTAGTTACTGTAACATCTGTTGTGAGGGAGCGATGACCGTGTGCTAATGACAGAAGGACAGTTCCATTAAAATAATCAGCACTGTCTGTCAGTCTGTCTGTCAGCGATGGATAGTTGTGCAAAACCATCAAAGCCAATTCTTCAGTCTTACTGTCGGCATCTCTTCAGATACCAGACCTTCTGATAAAAACCTTGCATTAAATAAATCATCAACAAAAGAAGAAGAACACGACACGTAGCTTTTATCTTAGTCTTTCCTATACCTTTGCTTACACTGTTGAAATTCTTGAAAACTTTATGAATTTTTTAATATCTGTAATTTGATGGTGATCTACAGTCAATAGGTTGCATAAGCACTAATCAATTACATGATTTGAGCTTATATATGATATATATGAAATCATTTGATTTTAATATGCAACTAAATCAAGAAATCTGAAGCATAACTGTTTTTTGCCCTTTTTTTTAAACCAGACAAAAAAGAACTGCTCTCTCCATATCTGGGATCAGTCTCTGCCTAAAGCGAAAGAGTTCAGGTATTTTGGTGTCTTGCTCATGTGAGACAGCAGATGTAGCAGCAGACATGTAGACAAATTAGAGTTTTGTCTGCATTAACAAGAGTGATACTTAATGAATCTTGATATTCTGACTGGTGTTTTTGATCAAGGCTTTTTAAAAATTGATTGTTGGTCCAAAAACTGCAATCGGTGTAACCCTAGTAGCAGGTCATTTTGATCAACAACAAAACTAGTAACTTATCAAAAAAAATAAAAAAAATAACAGAATTTACTTCACAATTAAATAAACTACCAGCTTTCTTTGGCATCAAGCTATCAAAACTCAGCCATTTAGACCGATTTTCCTCTCAACCATTACTTTGAACTCAGAAATGTTTCCTGCTTTTGCCATCCCGATAGAAGCAATCTCAGCCTGGACTGTTTAGACACATGGTTCCAAGTTAGCTTCACACTGCAAATTACCATCAGGCCCAGGGTGTTCGCTATGTGTTATCAAACCTAGCATGCTCTGCACAAACTGATACTACGTTGGACCTTGATTTGACAACAGCGCGAGGACCTAAAGCAGTCAGCATACTGTAAATTATAAAACCGAATCGCATCATGAAGAATGTGGGCCTGTTTAGGCTTGAATCCCACCAGTGAAATATCTAAAACATTATTTATGTGTGGTTTACAGGGTGACAGATTTCCTTGCGCGCGAAGCGCACTCGAGGAGTGTCTGGGAAGGAAATGTCAATTGGGATTTACAAAACATGGTCTAAATGCAATCAAGATGGCATGTGGTTTGTTCGAGGGAGGAGACTTCATTGCGAAAATGTTAAATGAAAAGTGAACCACAAAAACCTATCTTTACGTCATCATGAGACAATAGCATAGAAAATTTTTAAAGTGCAAAATATTATGGTTAATTTAAGTTTTATTTGGATATTAAACTGCAAAAAATTAATCTGAATCTGGTAGATATTGGACTGTATTGGAAATAACAGGATTAAATGAATAAGAATTGTAACTGTTAAGTATTCAAAATGTTTAACAAAAAGATTGAACAAAATTTTATTCCAGCGAACTCACAAATACGCTTTTAAAAATCTACTTTTCTCTGAGCTAAGCAGGATTAAATAAGCTACCAAAATGGTTCACAAAATGTTAAATGGAAACATAGATGACCTAACAAACTCAATACAGTTGTATTTACATCCCTAGAACTATTTCCCAATTTGTCATATTAAACTACAAACTACAATATATTTTGCTGTGTAATGTATTTCAATATGAATGTATAATTAATTTTGATTGTGTAAAGGTGGATTTTTTTTTGTTATATAAAGAACATGCAGGTAACCCTGCATTCTCTAATGCAATAATAGGATGTCTTCAACCTGAGCATTATTTAGAACCCCTACTGCTACAGAACATCCTTCCTGCCCACAAACATCAAATTGTTATATATCTGATGTCCTTATTATAAACTAAGTCATTATGACATTTAATATTCCTTTAGGATTAAAAAAATATTGTTGAACTCAATTGAATTGCACTGAATTTGTTGTTCTATAGCAATAGGGAAGATACTCAAAGATGATCGGACTATGGATAGGGTAAACTTAGAATAAAATCAAGACAGAAAAAATGTCCAAAACTACAATACTATTTGAATTGAAACATATTTGAATGATAGAATGGCACAGCCAAAATCCAATTTATATTTTGTGGAAATATTTTCTAAAAATTACAGCACGGATGCTTTACATCCAATTTTACAGGGTAATAGAAAAATGTAAGCATTTACAATTGTGACACTTTTGATGGGTCAGATAGACTCAAGAAATTGTAACAGCAGCTGCGTGGGGGAGTAGGGGCAAATTTCATTTTATGTCATTGGGCCCAATATTCCTGGAGGCGCCCCTGGGCACACATTTTTTAGCATGGTACTATACTTCTGTCATATTCTTGTAAAGAAAAAAATAAAAAAGAAAATTTGGATTTCTGATTTCTTTGACAGACACTTTTGAAATTAAAACAGAAACGAAAAAGTTTTAGCAAAAGTAAAACACTGCAGCTTCTTTGGCTTTTCATAACACAATATGATTTTAAGATCATATTTTTCTTTACAAGAATAACAAAAACTCATATAATGTAGTAACACCTTCCTGGTTCTACTGTTGCTGTAGTAAAGGATAAGGATTTATCAGTTCACCACAAGACTTTTGTAGCATTTTATAGTGCAGGAAAAGCAATAACAGCGTGCATAGTTGACTGCTGCACAATGCATACTATGCTTGTTTATATGCTTTCAAGATAATGTTCTCTTCTAAATCAAAACCCGTAAGTTTTAATACCTACTGTTTTAAAACCTACGGGTACAGGTTGATTACTGCGACGTCCTAATGCTGAAGTTTGGGGAAAGAAAAAAGACTGGCTAATCATTGCACACTTACATTGACAGCTCGGCTTCTCCCTTCAAGTCGTTCAGCCGTTTGCTCTTAGCCAATCAGCAAACAGCGTAAGGCGTTACGCAGTTGGATACGTGTTGACGTAAGAGACGTCCTCACTAGTGATACTACGTAAATTCCAAAAGGCAGGAAGTTTGATGTGGCTTTGATTGCTATCAAAATGGTAAGATTGTTTTCACTTCATTAGCCACATCTTATTTTATAGCGCAAATGTACATTTTGAAATTCAAATCTGCTTTCAGTGTCCGTCAGTTGGAAGCTGCGTGGCTCGCTGGTGGCAGGCATGCACTTTATGCTAACCCAACAAACTGAGTTGCTAAAATCGGCTAAAAAATGTAGCAAACTCCGCTGTGGTGTTTTCGAAAATGGATACATTGCGAATGTAGCCGTGTTATCATATGAGATAGCTTTTGTGTCACAGTTTAAAGACCCGAACGCTGCTGCAAACGATGCAAACCGTAATGTTTTTTAAGGTGTGCCACGTAGCTGGAGCACTTATAGCGGAGCTTCTCTGACTGCAGCTGGGTCTGCAGCGTGGCACTTTATTATGAGCATGAATAAAGACCGAACACACTTATGTAACTACAGGTTAACTAGAGACATTTGTTATGACTGGGTAAGCAGTGAGGCATGTTAATCTTTCTAACAGCCTTCTTTTACAAACTTCCATTTGATTTTTATATTAAAAGTTAGCTTATTTAAAAGTATATAAAGTAGGGTTGTAATAAGGCTGTAGCTGTCATAAACTAAGCATCCACTCATAAAAATGGTTGAATTGTTGTTTTTTGCTCGTGTTTTTTTTTTTTGGTTTTTTTTTGTTTGTATGAATACATATGAATATGAGCATATGAATACATAAAATCATTAACTAATAGACTTTTTTTTTTTTTTTTTTTTTTGTGAGAGAGGTCAGTATTTAGCATAGATGATTTCCCAAACAGGAATAAAAATAATAATGGTTTTCTCAGCGTCTTTCCTAAAACTCCAACCCATAGCAGCACATTAAAAAACTACTTGTGATGAGGCCAGGAACAAAATCATGAGTTGGAGTACAAGCAACAGATCTCCTGTTAGTGACACATGTATTAAAGGTGATTAGATTTGTAAAACATAATTTCTGTTGCAGCATTTTGAGCTTGTGATATCAGCATACATTCATAAATAACGAACAAGGAATATCTTGCATACAGTAACCGCAGCTGTCCTGAGCAGAACTTTGTGTCAAATATGTATTTGTTGTTGTTTTTTTATTTTACAGTCAGCCATTTTCAACTTCCAGTCACTGCTAACCGTGATTCTCCTGCTCATCTGTACCTGTGCCTACATCAGAGCGCTCGCTCCCAGCCTGTTGGACAAGAATAAAACTGGGTATGATCCGATAGATTTTTAAAAATAATAATAATCATCTGACGTGTTTCAGATTCTCTGGTTGTAAAAGAAAAGAGACAAAAAATACAGTTTCTGTTTTTCAGCTGGGTATCAATACACTAATATCAAGTTGCATAATCAACAAACTAACAGGAAAAGTTGCCATTAGCTTGGGTCTATCCTGCTTTGTTTTTATATCTTTATATGATCGAGATCAATTATTGCTCATCTAACCACGTGCTTATTCACTATAATGTGATTGGTTTTAAACTTCTAATTAATTCTTACTCACGTGATCATTTTTTTTGTCATGCACTGTGGCCACTGAAAGTTGTTTACATTTACTAGAAAGCCTCTCTGTCTCTGAGGTCTGGAAGCATAAGAACACATTTTAATAATTAGAAGCTCATTTTTGTTTTATGTGCAAACTCTATGATTCACTTGTCTAATAAACCCGGCACAGTCCATATGTGACCAAAGCTGGACTCATTCACTGACTCACACAGCACTGATTAAGGGAGAGGCATTTCTCTGGACAAATGCATAACAGGAAGGGTGGCAGATGGAGGGATTTGTAATTTCTTGTGTCAAAGGAATGATGGAATAATGTTTTTTTTGTGCTTCTCTTGATTAATGGAGATGCTATAAACCTTTGAATATGATCATATGGCAATAGTCTTTGTGTTAATAGTAAAATATTTGTTTTAGAAGGTAAGTAAATGTGCTGTTCTGAGTATGCACTAGATATTTATTTATTAGTCAATAAATTTTGGAAGACACCAATATCCACCACACTTTGCTACGAAGGCTATAATTTTTGGATCGGGACAGCTTTCCTGTTTTTGTTTGTTCTTTTGTTTGTTTTATTTTATTTTATGGAGTGCAGTCCTGTTAAAATGTGGAATCAAATTATCAGATGCTACAGCAAATCTACAACCTTTATGAATTAAAGTAGTTTAATTTAAAAATGAGCCGGTCTTAGGCAGGTTCTAAGATGATTTCTATTTAATTGCGTGGATGACAAAGATTATAACAACTTCTGCTCTCAATATTTATTAAAGAAAGATGAAGCCAAAATGAAAAAAGTTAAGATGACTACATATTTCACATTTACACATCACTGACACCATTACAGTTGGTTTTATCATACTAAGTATTACAACTGCTTTTTTGGGGGTTTTTTATTAGAAAACTGGACTTTATAAAATACTACATTTCGAAAAAAGTTAATGACTATTTTTAAAATGTTGTCTTTTATTTTGTGTTATAGACTCCTAGGAATTTTCTGGAAATGTGCCAGAATAGGTAAGCATGTTAAAGTCTGGTACACATGCCTCTCATTAAGTTAGAATATTATCATAGTTGATTTATTTTGGTCATCAGGTTGCTTCAAATCCTGCAGTATAGTGAAATCAGCATTTGTACAAAGCTTATCAGTAAAGAAAAACAAGAAGTCTTCTAGTCTTCAGACTCCGGTAGCTTGCTTTCATCTGACTATGGCCTGGACCACCAGGCCATAGTCTTCTTTTCTTTACTCCTGATGTGTCTGAATCAGGGATGTCCTAACATAAGAAATATAAAAGCTGTGGCTATGTTCTGGATATTTTTGTATCCAGAACATAGATACATAAGAATAAAGATGGCATATTAAAATAAAAAAGAAAACTTCAGGACAGACTGGAACACAAAGAACATGGAAGCACTTTTCTTTCATATGCCTGTATACAGCATTCTATGAACAACCAGAATCATGTGGATGGAGTCAGCTGCTGTCTGTTGGATAAATGTCAAATAAGCAGTCTTCACTGCAATAGTGTAGGTCATTACATAAAATTTCTATATTAAATCTTTCTTGTTTTTTATTGGGTTTATGATTGAAGTTGGGGAGGGGGAGGGAAATCAAGCTCTATAACAGTCAACTTACTTAAATAAATCCCTTTCAATGTTCTAATTTGTTGGAATGCATTGTTACAGTTCCACAATTGATATTTCTTGAAATTAGGATTGTGAAATAATTCTCTTAAATGTTGACATTGTTCCCTTTCTTCAGGTGAGCGGAAGAGCCCGTGGGTGGCCTGCTGCTGTGTCATCATGGCGTTCAGTATACTGTTTCTACAATAGCACAGTGGCCGGTACAATTACAAATGGAACAATGAAGACATGGACAAGAAAGGAGGCCTGGACTGTATGTTCCTAGAAAGGACTTCCATTGGCTGTCACTTAGATAATGTGTTAAAATTACAAAAAGATAAAGCCTAATTTTAACATGCCGTAACCACAGAGACACAGAATGTGTGCGTGATAGCACAGGGGTGCGCTGATAGTCCCGGTCTGTCTAATCCTCTCTGCAGAGCTCCAGATTTGGGTCTGTGTTCAGCTGAAATGTTTGCGACTCTGATGCAGGTGCATTTGCGAGGGGTGGGAATCAGGAGTGGCTTTGCTTCTCTTAACAACTGTTTGTGGGATAAATTGATACATAGTTCGCCAAAGAAAATTGGGGGATTTGTGTTTGTTTATAATTGCAACAAGCTTAAATTTTACACAAAAAAGAAATCACATAAATTCCCATACTTCCAAAAGCTTTTCATGGTTTGTCTGGCTTTTTGTATCTAAAGAAGTTGAACACATTCAACACCAGTTTGCAAGTTTCTTCTTGTCCCGTATTTAAAAAAAAAAAAAGTAATCACTCAGACTGCAGCTATTTATTTTATAAAAAACGTTTTCTTTAATTTCTTATTTTTGATTAGTACTGTCTTTTATCTTGGTTATATTCACTGTAATGTCACACACTAAGGAGTGTTGTCAATTCTCTTTATAGACAAGCGAAAATGCGTTTTCAATAAATTTTCTTTCAATGTTGTTTCTTTATGAAATGAATAGTACATCATATGCCATCTTACATAGATATTTGTGTTCTTGTTTAGATATAGTCCTTCAAAATGTAGACTATGGAATAACATTCCCTGTAATCGTGGTGTCAGAATTCATATTCCCAAGGATTACTGCAAGAGGCACATGACTCTACATTTCATGGCATCAGCAAACAGATGTAAGGTTTTCATTTAAATCAGAAAAAACCTTGAAGTTACTACAATTATGTGGACAAAATGTAGGTTACTGTGGAGCTTATGCAGAATGTTTTGGAAATAGCGATCACATGTTGCTGCTGATTTGAATAATCTGTTTGACAGGATAAGAGCAGAATTCCCAGACAATCTGACCACTGCATTTTAAATGCCGCTTTCAGGAAGCGATTGCTTTAACAAAGTGGTGAAAAGCAATCTTATCAGATCATGCTGCCTGAATTATTTTCAACCACAAGTTTAATTATTCTGGCAAATGATGGTGTGAATGTCACACTTCTTTATCTAATCCAATGGATCTCAAACTGGATTGAAAACTGATTGGAAAGCTACAAAGCAACAGTATACGTTGATTAAACAAAGTGACAGTCAGAAACTACTGAAGAGAGGAGTACAAACCGATCTTTGCATCCCTTATGGTTGCCATACAGCTGTTAGAAAAACAATTTTTTTTTTTACACTTCTGTTGATTTGATTCTCATCAGGTGTTTCTTACGATACTTTAGTGAACATTATCCCACAGTGATTGAAAGTACAAAATGCATAGAAATACATAATTGGTTTGTTTTGCTAACAGTATTTAGCTGTTAGACCACACAACCATTGGGAAACCCCATTGGTTTTCAGACTTAGAATTGCAGCATGTTTTACCTGGTTTTGAAGTCATTTCCAGATCTAAGTTTCTTAGAGTTGCAACCAGAGTTTGTTTTTATTTCTCAAAATTCTTTCCACTGTATTTCCCATTGTAGGAAGTTTCTGGTGACCAAAGTGAAGTTTGCTTATGCCACTTTGTTTTGGGCTGTTGGTGGTTTTTAGCTCTACTTCACAGTTAATCTGTTCAGTTTTACTTTGTAAATAATTGAGAGAAGAACCTTTCTGCTGACTCTGAATCAAATTCTCGAAGAAGTATAGCTTCTGAACAATGGGCAGTCCCACGCACATTGTCAGTGTGTGGGATTTATCAAAGGTCAACACTTGTAGACAAAATCCCTCTTGATAACTTGGTCCCTGATGAGCATCCAAATCTCAATAGGCCCTTATGCAGTCCCTTGAGGATTCATTGTGTGTGGCTGTTCCGGCACTTCTGTTTTTTTCCTTAAAGATAAAGCACCAAGTGAAGCACTACTTGTGATTGTCAGGCTGTAACATAGATACAGGAGACGTAAAGGAGCGGGAAGCTCTTGGTCAACTTCTATCTTGGGTGCCCGAGATACTGGTAAGTTGCAAGGACATGCTGTGTCAATAAACCAAAGTAACTAAGGGTTGACAAGAAAACCCCGTGGGAGAGCTGGCACTCATCTCTGTTGATTGCAGCAGCAGTCGTCAGTCATTCGAGGATAAAGAATGAGAATGAGCTAAATAGAATGGTTAAAGATTGCAGTCTATTTGGTGTAGATGGGCTCTTCTGGGGCAAACTGAAACGAAACGAGTTGGTTTTGTATTCAACCCTAAATGTTTACGTCCCCATGAACTGCTAAAATAATCCATTTAAAATCAGGTCAAATGTCCAAAGCGCAAGAAAGCATGCCCAAGTCACTGGTCACAGAATAGTATAAAAGTCGAATGGTTAAAACACCACAAAGTATGCAGGAGAAGAAGCGCAGCGAAATTTATGGAGCAACCAGAAAAGTGGAATCCCTGCAGCATTCACACTAATTTGACCAGGAACGTTTTTTTATTATGTGAACATATGGAAGCAATGGTGTCCATTTGCAGTTTTTGATAAGGGTATTAATTCAGTTCAATATAATTTATTTGTCCCCAAGAAGCAATATGTGGACACAATAAAGCAACACAAACATAAACACGGAAACAAAAATGTAAAAATGGACTCATAAAGAACAAACAGACAATTAGGCTATGTTGTTGTACAGTGTTTTAAGGTCTTACTCAATGTGCTCTTTTTTAACTTGGAGCCCCTGCCCCTCCAAAGGTCTCTGCACGGCCCTGAGAGCTCTTGTATATTTAATGCTGATTAGAAACGTTCTCTCAGCAGAAACTTATGGTCCAATTAGGGCTCTACTAAATGAAGGCAGTACACCATAACTCAAAGCATTCCCTTTCTCTGCACACATCATCACTCATTTAGGTCCATGAAAGCATCCAGAGCACATTAGTTTCATTTCCTTGTCTCTTTGATCAAATTTGAAAGTTTCTTCTAGTCATTTTAGAGACTTCAAAGGCCATCGAGTCTAATAAAGACGATATCTCCTGCTGAGCAACCCAAGGTTGTTCAAGAAGACCATGGTGCTCAACATTAGTAGTGGTATATCTTTAAATAACTGTTTTAGGAGAAATAAATGCGCATAATGACTTTAATGCACATAAGAGTCCTAGATAAAAAGTGAAGGATGAAAATGATAATTATTTAATTGTACAGACAAATTAAGGACAGGATACAAAATGTTTTATAATTAGCCATTTCTGTACCACAAAGAACATTAGAAACATCTTACAGAGGCAATGGATTTATAAGATTGAATTGTTGCTCACTCGTCTGAAGTTCTTATTTCTTATTTCCATGTTCTGTTCCTACACACTGTCTGTTAGTACCCACGTGTGTCATGTTTACTGTAACTCAGTTTTTTGCTGGTTCAAGTTGTCATTTCATTATAATTATCACAACCTACTCTATAAGCCCTCAAAGCTAAAACTTAAATGTTGATATTTAGAATTAACAAAAAATTATGACGTCCTGTTTGGTTGTCCAATGCTGCCTTGCAGCTCGCGCTGAATAATTCAAACGGTATTTTAGTGTGGCGTCTGCAGCCTCTCACTCTCTATGTGCATTTTCTCTGGGTTCTCCAGCTGCTTGCCAGTTTTAAGTTTCTGAAACTGGTTCAGTTCAAAATCAGTTCACTTTAATCCAATAACATATAATCAATTAGTCAGATTCTGATCCAACTTCCACTTAATGCTTAACTATAGGACAACACGGTCCTATGTGTTGCAGGAAAAATCAAGACATGTTTTTAAGTCTCATCATGGCTCCTCGTTCATAATTAATCCTTTTGTTACAAAACATAATAAACATCACTGATTGTTTGGTTTTAAAAAATGAAATGACAGGGCAAAAAATACATTTAATATGAACGGAAAGATAGTTATTTGTTCAATAAACACATTTTCAGTGAACATCTTCCAATGTATTTTAACTGTCATTCAAAATCAGAACTCACTTTGTTGGCCTGTAAAGTTTCTTACATGGGCATTTCCTTCTGTGCCTTGCTACTTGAATTGTTTTAAGGGATTTTAAAACATGGATAGATCAGTGACATGTTTGCTGCAGGACTGCTCTACACTTTTCTTTGATCAGTCGATCCCTTAAAAATCACCGGGCGATTTACGGCACAAATTTTAGGGTGGAGCTGAAGAAACATGCCAACTTTGACTTGAAAATTCTGTCAGATACACGCCTATGTTGGAGTCATCGAACTTATGGGTGCAACCACCAGTTATTGCTTTTTCAGTAACTATATCTAATGGGGCAAGTCTGTAGTGACTCTGAGCATAAACAATGTTTCTAACACTGGCAAAAACATTTATAAAATACAACTGTTTCTAATTAGTCCCAGTATTTTCTGGTGCAATAGCTGGATTTACAGTAAATCTCCATTCGCAGAGTGACGCAAACAGTGATGCTGCAGAAGACCACAAGCAAAATTCTCGCACTTGTCTTGCTGCAAGTTTTGATGTTGTGCAATAAAAGTACTGGCTCTTGCAAAACTTTTCATACCAGTTGAGTTTTTTTTTTTGACATTCTTTAAAGTTACAACCACAAACTTTCATTCATTTTATTGGAATTTTATGTGATACACAAACTGTTCATCCCCCGCTTCTTAAAGATTGGGAACACCAAGTCTGTCACTCTGCAGGTATCACTGCTTTAAAGAGTCGGTGATATTTGACCCACAATGTCTTGCTCCTTGACTTGAGAAAATCTCATTTACTCCTGAAACCCAGCAGTTCAGGACCTATCTACCATTGCAACGTCTGCTATTTTGCTTTTGTTCTTAAGCATGCCAGATGTCCCCACTGCAATGGTTCCTCTGGTTTCTACTAGAAGTCTTAGACATTGCCAATTCAGATGTCTTGTCCAAAAACTTCCCTAAGACAATTAAAGAAAAATCACCGGGCAATTTACGGCACAAATTTTATGTGCCACCAGTCAGTGGTTTGAGTTAAATGTCTCCCAAACTGGATCCTTTGCTAGGTGCTCCAACTTCACTCTTCCAACTTGTTTGGGTTTCTAAGGTCTGTCTAACAGACTACACCCAGCTGGCTTGTTACCAACAGTTACAAACTACGTTGTGCTTGGACCCTGTGTAGAACGCTGCATCATGGAAACCCCATCCCATGCATCACAGAGACGTCCATGACAAATCACTGCCTGGATCCAGGGGCAGTTTCCCCCAAAATCCCAGCCTTGCAGGTAGAACTACAGTTTATCTCACAAGTTTTGTTAAAGCAGCCTTTGCTTGTAATAACTCTTGACATTTTATTTCTATAAACCTTACATTTTATGAATTGTATCGTCTTGTGCATGTTATTTCAAAAGATAAATGGAAAGAGATATAAAAAAAAACTACAAAAAAAACGGAAAATAGCTTTGACTCAAATATGAAACGTCACCTCTGTCGAATCTCCATTTGGAGCACGTTTTTTTGTGTTCCAGTGTATGACTCCTATATGAAGTTATAACGACAAAGTGGTTTAGATTACTGAGCTAGGAGGAAAGACCATAAAAGATGACTGATCACCACAAGCTGTTGTGGTC